GCTGTAACTGATTCAAATTTCTCACCAAACACGAGCCAAGATTACATTTTTATCTTTTTCGATGCACTGATTTACCTTTAAAATTCCAAGCAAGTCTTATTACCATTAAAAGTCTGAAAAAGCACGGCAATTAGAGCTTTTCTGCGTGCGTGTTCTAGAGTGTGCTCAACGAAGTAGCTAGCGATCATTCCCTTCACTCCCTGGGATCTTTTCCGAGGAATCTGGGGAGAGGTGATGTTTTGCGTGACTTATGTGACTGGCAGTTTCGCAAGTCACTCGACCCACTTGTCGGAGGGAAAAATGATCCTCCGCGGATTTATACCCCTCCAAAAAATAGTATTAATTACCAAATATGATGCAAACGCTGCTTAAAAGGAAAGTTTGATGGGGGAGGGGGGTGTCCATATTCGCTAGCGGATTTGGACGGGGGGGGGGGTAGGAGGTCCAAAATCCGCTGTGACACCGGTACGGATCATGAGGCCAACGACATTGAATAGTAAAATCTCCTCGATTTCGACGACTTCGCGTCCATTGTGATCATAAGGCTACACCCTTTGGAAAGTGGTGTATAGAAATATCCGGTATATGTGTATTAATCTTGTAGCTAACATCACTTGGGGCCCTGGCCACGCAATACGTTCGTCCTTTCCTCTTGATTTCTCCTCTCTCCACCATACTCGCCGACGTGTCTTCACAGTTTTCTACGTTACCGCAATGTAACATGATCGTTTTGGCCACGCGCTTAATGGGAACACTTTTTGGTCGCCAAATCGCACTTTCAATGCGCAAAAAAATGGTCAAGGAGAATTTGCTAGGCGCTAAGGTCGAATGTTTCTAATTTTTAAAAAAGCTATCAACCAGGAAATACATTGGCACTTTAAAAGACTTAATTTATGAGTATCAGGAGATAAAGTCAGTATCTCACAATGTGTACCGTGTACATGCAGCCACAATAGCACATGTCACCTAAGGAACAATTCCAGTTTCTCAAATAAGAATGATATAATATAACCATGACTTAGCTGTAACTCACTTGACAATTTTGAGAGTACAACCAATACTATACTATGTTAAATTATTTTACATTTCAGAGTTAGGGAAATACTTGTCAAACACAGTTTCCCTTCTTCCACCAAACTCAACTGACTCTTGAAAGCTCTGACGACTGAATTTCAACCACAATGCACTATTTACGTTAATATCAAATGGAATATTTAGAAATTTAGCCAGGCAGAAGCCTGTGACAAATTAACAAACAGCTGAATTCATTCACAGCGTATGTTGAATGCCATGAAAATAAGAAAAATATTGATCCTAAATCACGAAATTGATATTCACATTATTTTTTTGCTTTTAGTGAAGACTTCAATGTATAGTTGAAGTTTTGCTCTTTGCCACATTAAAATATCTATGATTTTATGAAGAATTGTTGCATTGAGGACTTCTTACATTTACATCAAAAGTAGGGACAGTCAGCCTAATGAATTAATTAATTGCCAAGGCAACACATAACCATTAGCCTACTAAACTAAAAATGACAAAAAATACCACAGTCTCTAACTCAAAGACATGAAAACCAAAATTTGAAGCTCAAAGCTGTAAATCCACACTACAACCAACAATATTGGACATCGAAAAATAACCTAAAATATATCCAAATCCAACAATCAATTTCAAGAATGAGACACTCTGACTCCAGAGGAACATCCCACATGTTCTTAGCGATGTTGTGGGAGGGAGTTACCATGTTGGTGAGGGTACCAATTTACCTAAGCTAAGTGACTCTAAGAATATATTTCCTTATCTTTCATCCAACAGTTGATTGTTTGTTCATTTGATCACCACACTGAAGTCTCCCACCATTGGTCAGAAACCTACCAAACCAACTAATCATCTTGAAATGTGCTTTGTTTAATCAGGTTTCCTAACCTTGTTTTCAAATTTTGTTCAACACAATGACTACAACTTAGGTATTGACTTCTCTAACTGAGTAGATCTGAAGGAATTCTATCAATGGATGGACTGATCTGGCCTGACAGTTCTGGCCAATGGTAAGTTTCCTTAGTTTCAGGCGGTCTACTGAGTCAGTCCTAGTCAGTTATGTTTCCAGGCAGGACCCAGTCTCCTCCTCATCACCTGAGTCAGTAACTAACTCAGGATCCTCCTCGTCACTTGAGTCAGTACCTGACCCAAGATCCTCCTCGTCACCTGAGGCGGTAAATGACCCAGGCTCCTCCTCATCACCTGAGTTGATACCTGACCCAGGATCTGACTCTTCTTCTGATTCGCTCCAATGATCTTCCCAGTATTCATCTGTTGGCCATTCTTCTTTAGGTTTGACATTCCCTTTGCGATCCTGTGATAAATCACAAACCAACAATCAACATCATCCTGTCAAACAACATACACCTGAACTCCAACTTGTTTACCCTGGTTACTTTTTATATGAAGAGAAATTATGCCATGAGTATGTTTGACTGAGTCAATTTAAAACAACTTTTATATTAAGGAACGTTCCATGTAAGCAAACATCACAAGGCTCACCAAAATTTAGATATATTCCAATTACATCCATGGTGGGGCCCATACTGATTATTTTATTAGAGAAATAAGCTGAAGTGTTCAAAAAATATACATAACATCAAAGTGACCACCTCTCCTAGAGTCTTATAGGTACTTGACCTGACAAGCCCATGCAGAGAATACAACTAAAGGTAACCTTTTAAGGAAAAGGCTCAGTAGTTCATGTGAGAATGAGGAACTGCTGATGTCTCCTCTTTAAAGGTTATGAATATTTACTAAGTGGCTCATCCACAGCTAGTACTCATTTTCAAACTTAGGAAACTGCAAAGGTGGACATTATTTGTGAGCATTTCAAATGCTGCAATATTTTTGTAGTTCAGCAGCTCATCAGCTTAGCAGTCTGCTTAGTAAGTTAATATAAAAAATGTAAAGACATATCACCAGTTAGGGCAAGTTTGATTCAGACAGATGCAACCTTCATTGCTATTTTTACACAGGCTGATTAACAAGAAATTCTTTGGACAGAGTAGGATAAAAACATGTTTGAACAATGTAACTGCAAACCATTGACATTAGAGAATCTCTGCCTGCAAATTTGAACCAGTATCTCTCTTACAGTGGTAGCATTCTTTCTCTACTACTTTTCAAGTGGAAGCCCTTGGTCATTTCTTTTCTAATCGACAATGTTCCTGGTAACTTTTGGTTAGGACCAGAGGAAGAAAAGGAAAATCTGTGTAAAAGGAAGTTTAAGGGAAAAAATTCTGTGGTGTCTTTACAGCATTTTATCAAAACCTAAATGATATAGTAAACCACTGAGTTAATCAATCAAATAAAATTTACAGATGTATGCTAACCTTCCCTCTACAAAACTCCCAAATACTATTCCAGAAGCTCTTTCTAAGGGAATAATCAGGTATTCAAATTTTTTTCTCAGAGCGTCCAGAAACACACCACATTTCCTTTGAAGTTTAGCTTTTCCTCCATCAGAGAGAAGCTTCAGCTTTAAAGTATGACATTGCTTAACAACTCCTAGGAGCTGTAAATAAAGCAAAGTGAACAAACTAGGGTCTCAAATCATTTCTTACAGACAGATGCTCAGTTCATGGTAAGTACAAGCAATTGTTTACTTCCTCCATTCTGTTGCCCTTAGGAAATCAAGACCATTTTCCAAAGGAAAAGAACAGCTAAATGAATAAACAAAAGTCGAAAACCAGTCCTAGCAGATTTCCTAAATTTTAAGACAAGTTTTAAGAAAGTAGCTCCTTCAAATCATTTCTTACAGACAGATGCTCAGTTCATGGTAAGTACAAACAATTGTTTACTCCCTACATTCTGTTGCCCTTAGGGAAATCAAGACCATTTTCCGAAGGAATAGAATAGCTAAATGAAGAAACAAAAGTCGAAAAACAGTCCTAGTAGATTTCCTAAATTTTAAGACAAGTTTTTGGAAAGTAGCTCCTTGATCTCTTCCAAACACTGACATTAACTTTCTGTCATTAATATCTGAAAACACGCGGCCGTCCTCACATTCAAGCGCACAGAGTGGTAACGCATTTACTTTCGTTTTACTTTATTTTCTACTTTTTTTTCTGGTCCTAATTATAAAAGGAGTAGATTTATCGAGGTTAATGGGATGAAATAAGGAATGAAGTGTATCCTGTTTCTGTGTTTCCACTGTAGACACACAAAATAATATTGCTTAAGACACTCAAAAACAGACTACACACTTCAGAATTCACCCTTCTTCAAACGTAAACAAACATACTTAAATGGGCTCTCATCTTCACTGAAAAAAATGACTTGCTTTGCTTCCAAGTTTAACAGATTAAATGGTAGCGACAAAGAGTGACTGTATAACGTTCTCATGCATGTAAGCCTTTTCAGTAATTCGGAATGTAAAACTTTTTAATTGAAATCGTTAAAATCAAAGCCACAATATTTGCTTCGCTTTGGATTTCCTCTCTTACGAACCGTTTGCGAGTCGGCTTGTTGCGACAAAATACAAAAGAATGTTATGAAAGTATGATTAAAACGGAACGAAATTGAGCTGCGAATTACCCTTTGTCCAGCAATGCGGATAATGGACTGGGCTTTTTCTTTTTTTTTTTTAGGACTGGGGATTCTTAAGGAATCTAAAGAAGATGCTCCATTTCAGTTCAACTTTGACTGTTGCCTGCACACGTGTTTTTCGGAAATGCGCAAATGTCTCTTGTGGCTTGGAGATAGCTACATCGCGATTGCTCCGCGAACCAAGGGCGTAAAAATTCTTAAAACAACACCACAGGAAATTGAACAGAATCTATAAGAATTATGACTACAATTATGCAAACTACGATCACAAAACTTACGTGGTATTGTGTGTTAAAAAAGGAGATGTCACTCTGACGTACAGCTGCACTCGATTCATTCACTTGCTGCTTTGTAATTCTAACATAAGAAAGCAACAGGTTTTGCAGGTGAGGAACACGGCTGAGATGTCAAGCAAGAACACTTACTCCTTCACCAAGAGGGTTCTCTGACAAGTCGAGAGAGTACAGGCTAGGAGCCTGGTGCAGAGATCTGGCGATGACTGCGGCAGGTTTGGCTGTTAAATTGATATCAACAAGTTCTAATTTGACAAGTCTGTCAGTGAAGATGATACGAGACACCAGGGTCTCTGTCAACTGAGCATCAATGATTTCAAAGGGTTTCCCAGTAATCACTATCCATCGCAGAGCAGTGAAAAGTGGTAAGAAATCAGCCAGCATCTTTATCTCTTGCCTTTCTATGTGGACAATATCAATCCGCTTCACAAAGGAAAGGCTCTGAGGAGTCGGACCAGTGATGCTATCGGTGTACTGAGTCAAACTCGAAGCTGTTTCGCTGTCGTGTTCATTCAACGGATCGACAAGACGCGTCACCTGAGTAGACTCTGCTGTTGGCGAAATGAGCTCTCGCAGCATTTCAGTCGGAAAAGTGATACCATCTTCATCTTTGCATATTTCATGAACATAAGCGACGATTTTTCTCTCTCTCTTCAAAAAGAACTCGCTCACAGAACGACGCGGGTACTTCTTCAGTAAATCTGCAGCTTTCTTTTCACCCGAACAGCTCAAAAATACTGCATTTGTGTCCTCCGCTACAGTGATCAAGTCTCGATAGCTTTTCCCAGAAGAATCTTTGAGAAGATAGGGACGAAAAAAATAAAGTCGGGTATCATGCCTGATTTCAGCAAATGTTCATTTGCAGTAATGTTCACCTTGTTAGAATCAAGATACGAAAAGGCACCTGCGGTGAAAGAGGGAAATGCTGAGCAGAGATCCCGCCTCTTCTCGGCCGAACAACAAAAGTAGCTATACGAGATAAGATCAAGATAAAGTTGTTCATTTCTAGACAGTTCTTCATTCTCCAGAAGCAGCTTCATGAAATCACATTCCGACACAGATTCCTTTCTTCCAACAGACCCCACATGATGGAAAACTGCGCACGCGGCTTCTGTTGACAGCTCACAGGCAAATTTCAGAACTTCGTACATCTTCAAGATCTTTTCAAATGATTCAACTTTGGAAAGGCTAGGCGTACTTTCTCCTTTAATCGACAACACTTCCTCCTTAATGTGCCAGGCGGCAAGGAACTCCTGTACGGAATTATGAATGAAATAGGCCCCTTTCTCAGCCTGGTAAGATTGACAATCTGGAAAAGCCCAACTTCACTTAAGAGGCGATCTCTGTAAGAGCGGTCCAGGGCATTTCGCATCGGAATAAAGTTTTCCCTCAAACTTTGCCCAATAATCTACCTTTGGTAGCGAGTAAATAAAACCACATTAGTTTCTGGAAATACATTAAAATAAAATTTTTAGAGCTCTCAATAGTCAAAGCTGCAAAAGGCCCTTTTTTGACCGCTTGCGACATCGAAAATTTCAAAAGTTAAAAAGCCCGGTCCTCGTATCACACCGCATGCAGCAAAAGATCTTTTGTATTCTTAGACTGTGTGATATGTAAGGTGTATAAAAGGCATTTCAATTTTTATATTCGTTTATTCAGAGGTTCGTCATGATTTCTTTAATAACACACGTTAGACAGCTTTCTGAAATTGGTCAAAAGTACTCTTTCTTTCTTGGTTGATATTGCTCAAGTCCAGACCAGACCATTGAAAACTCCGCTTGATTTCTTCTAATAAGATGTTTGGCATAAGAAAAATATAAAAACATCTTGCACTTATTAGTTTTCTTCGCCGTGGTGACTTCAAACTTTTAGCGATTTTGCTAGCGTGACAGCCGATTATGCAAATTAGTTCATTGAGCAAACTCCGACCGTTTTATATAAGTAGCTCGATAAATCTTAGATTTTGGCCATTTTAAGTTGAAAATATAGTAGGACAGAGCTTTTAGACCACACTGATTGATACTCTAAATATTTTAAGAAGCCAAAATTTGAACAAACTTTTCTATCTCGTGACGAAAGACGTCAACAACAACGTATCGAATATCATAATTTGATTAGCGCTCAGTCAACCTTTTAATGGCAATCTTTTTTTAAAAAATTGGCTTCTGTTTTTTCAAATTTGAGTTCTGACAGCCTATGTTATTCAACCTGTATGAACATTCCAGAATCAAACAGCAGGATTTTATTTAGTGTAACCGGCGATAACAGCGCACACTAAAATACACCGTGACCAGTGACTCTCACGTAATTCCATCGTGTAATTATCCTGAATTACTTCTCACGTTGAAATAAAGCAGCGATTGCTCGGATATCTAGCAGACAGGAACAAATTTTTTTTGTCGTCACACCTGTCTGCATAACAGTCTCGGTTCATAACTTTGGAGGGTTCTTGTAAAAAAGAATATCGCATTCGCCTAACGAGTGGACGTCATAACTAGATTGCATAGCAACTGCACTCCGAAATCATTTCCTCCATTTTTGCAAGAAGTGCTGCCTTTGTATCTCGCATTTTGAATGAGAGATGAAAATGTTTGCACATGTCTCTTAGTATCTTGACTTTCAGGCTAGGCAACCTTCCCTCTCTTGCCAACGAGCACACATCATAGATATAAAACATGATTGGATGTTTCAGTCCTATCTCATCCATTATTGTGTTCCTCGCCTCTCTCAAACACTCTTCGTCTACATCAGACGCAGATGCCTCTACCAAGTCGTCGTCTTCGTCGTCTACGTCTGTGGCATCATCCGATTCTTGTTGTATTTTAGATCTCTCTTTAAGGCACAATCTCGAGAAGAAACCCTGAATCTGTATGCTAGATAACCACTCTGCTCTATTGAACATTCTCTCTCCATCTATAGTGCAGGCAGTTCGCATATCCTTTGCAACTTGCTCTGGGTCTTGTTTTCTGCCAGTGTCTCGTCCAATATTAAATTTCTGTGTCAAGTACTGCCTGACATTTTGCGAAAATCGTACACTTGCACTTCTCTTATGAAGAGCCCATCCCATGGGAAGCTGTGAAGCATTTGTCAAGGGTTCTGTAGCCATTGCCACCAGTTCAGTCGAAATTTCATTCCCTAATGAAAATGACTGAAAGTGATGAACCCACTCCCTCTTCACTTTGTCATAAAGACTTTCAGTCATGCTCGCAGGCACAGGACTCACATGACGAACTAGCAAGTTCATATGAAGGTCAAGGTCGGCCTGGGTCTTAAAATCTTCATCGCAACCAGGCTCAGGGCATTGATAGGTACTACCGTCGTTGCCATCATTGCTTTCTCCTGCTGATGCAATTCGTCGAGCAGTAGTGAGGAAGAATGGAATCTCCTCCACGAGATCCGTCTTTTTCTGTGGACAAATTACAATTTTATTCCATGGAATAAACTTTCCAGGCCCAACATTAAACGCTCTCCGAACGCACAGGCCCTCATGTGTAAACTCAAAGTTGTGTAAGCTGTTGAAATTGGCAATCTTGTTAATTTCTAGGGTTGAGTTCTGTTCCTGGACTATGCACACTGACGCCGTCGCTCCCTTGAACGGTCTCTCTTTCAATGCGTTATACATGTCTTTGGCGGAAACAACATCATGGCCTTCGTTGCAGTATCTCCTGATTGACGCTTTTAACGGACACAAAATCCTGTCACACATATCTTTTCCAGCCTGCGGCTCAGAATGATCGTACCTCACGAGTTCGATTCCCTGGTGATGTCCGAGCTCTCGTAGGGATGATACCAGCTTACTGTTGTGATAGCAACCTGCTTCATCTGATCTTAGAAAGGCCTTTTTTATTCCTGTATTTTGTAACTTTATGGTGTCAAAGAGATTTTCAAGGACTGACAGCACTGAAAACCAGTCTTGTTTACAGCCGTTAAAAAGGTGTACGTAGCAAGTTACTTCTAGGCTGCATGCATCAATATCAAAGCTTTTTATTCGCACAAACTCTTTTACCTCACATAAGCGCAGGAATCACTGTCTTCTTTCTCTGTGGATTCCAAAGAGACCCATGGCATTTCCTTCACAGAAGCATTGTGCTTGTTGCAGCAGTTAATACAAATAACTAGACGTAAGAAAAAGTGGATTAATATACGAACGAGCGATTGGGGAGAAAACGGGAGAGATTGGTTGAAATCAGCCACTTCAGTATCTTAAATCACTTGTTCCTACCTGAACCTACTTGAACGAGAACGCCATACATCTTAGAAATGGCCTTTGACATTTCCAAATTGACAGAATACCGGCTCTTTGCCCCCTTGGAATCGCTACCAGGGTGTGTCGGATACTGGCACGCTGATCTTTGGCGCCAGAACTTCCCATAGGTATGCTTCCCATAGGTATGCTTCCCATAGGTATGCTTCCCATAGGTATGCTTCCCATAGGTATGCTTCCCATAGGTATACTTCCCATAGGTATGCTTCCCATAGGTATGCTTCCCATAGGTATGCTTCCCATAGGTATGCTTCCCATAGGTATGCTCTACTGAGTCAGTACACTGAAGTAAATTAAACAACCCGGAAACTCCTCGTGAGTCTCCGCACGAAGTTTCCAAGGAATGCGACAGAAAGCAAGACATCTTGCTGCGAATGCTGCTTCAAGAATTTAGTGTTATTAGTCAAAAGCACATCAGTACCGAAAGAAGCAATTGAATTACAGCTAATAGGATTACGCACTTTACAACATAGATATGGCTAATTGTTGGAAAAATTAGGTGACACCTAACGAAATAATTTATTTCCTTTAAAAACGCGGAGTCCTTTTCTACAAGAAAGTTCTAAAGTTGTGAATAGAAACTCTCATAAAGTCAGGTGTGCAGACAAAATTTTCTCTTATTCCTGCCGACTAGAATTCTGAGCCAAAAGACGATGTTATCGCTGCTTTATCTAGATGGGAGAAGTAATTCAGGATAATTACACAATTGAATTACGTGACAGAGTCACTGGTCACGGTATATTTTAGTGTGCGCTGTTATCGCCAGTTGCACTAAATAAAATCCTGTAGTTTGGTTCCGAAATGTTCACACAGGTTTGAATAGCGTAAGCTGTCAGAACTCAAATATGAAATAACAAATTGCCATTAAAAGGTTGACTGAGCGCTAATCAAATTATGATATTCGGTACGTTGATGTTGACGTCTTTCGTCACGAGATAGAAAAATTCGTCAAATTTTGGCCTTTTAAAATGTTTAGAGTATCAATTAGTGTGGTCTAAAAGCTCTTTCCTACTATATTTTCAACTTAAAATGGCCAAAATCTAAGATTTATCGAGCTACTTATGTAAAACGGTCGGAGTTTGCTCAATGAACTAATTTGCATAATCGGCTGTCACGCTAGCAAAATCGCTAAAAGTTTGAAGTCACCACGGCGAAGAAAACTAATAAGTGCAAGATGTTTTTATATTTTTCTTATGCCAAACATCTTATTAGAAGAAATCAAGCGGAGTTTTCAATGGTCTGGTCTGGACTTGAGCAATATCAACCAAGAAAAAAAGAGTACTTTTGACCAATTTCAGAAAGCTGTCTAACGTGTGTTATTAAATAAATCATGACGAACCTCTGAATAAACGAATATAAAAATTGAAATGCTTTTTATACACCATACATATTACACAGTCTAAGAATACAAAAGATCTTTTGCTGCATGCGGTGTGATACGAGGACCGGGCTTTTTAACTTTTGAAATTTTCGATGTCGCAAGCGGTCAAAAAAGGGCCTTTTGCAGCTTTGACTATTGAGAGCTCTAAAAATTTTATTTTAACGTATTTCCAGAAACTAATGTGGTTTTATTTACTCGCTACTAAAGGTAGATTATTGGGCAAAGTTTGAGGGAAAACTTTATTCCGATGCGAAATGCCCTGGACCGCTTTTACAGAGGTCGCCTCTTAATTTTTGAAAACTTCTTGAAATATTACCGGGGAGTTCGCTGCAGCGTACGTAAAGACGGTCTTGCAGAATTGCTTCAAAGGCAACCTTTCCAAGATTACTCAGGTCTTCTCTGGCTTCTGTGGAGGTCACTTTCTGAAATGGCATAGGCTGGTGACTTTCACCTTTGTGATCTAGCATAGTTTGAATGAATTGTGTGAATATGTCGGCTCGTGATTTTGGCAGTCCTTCGTGATGTTTCTCTTTCCACAAAATACACAGCATCAGTAGGAGGAGAGGTATTTCTGCCATGTCAAGGAGATCTTTTTCTTCCAGGTAGTGCATAAACTCGTCAGGATCTTGTTCATCTGCCAAAAATTTTCTCGCAAAGGTTTTTATTCGTTCCAAGCTTTTGAATCCTTGAATTTCTAACTGAACGTGACTCGGGCCTCCTGTCTTGTCACATGAAAGTTGACGCGTGGTGACAATGACGTGACAATCTCTTAGTTGCTCACCCTTCCAAATTGCAAGGATGGGTGAGTGTTCTTCTGCAAAGCTGTACTCATCGTAGCCATCCAAAATAAGGAGCACTTCATCTTGATTGTTAATTATGTAATCATAGAGACTATCAACTGAGATCGGACCATCACTGGCCAGCAATTTAGACGCACGTAAAACATCACGGATGTTTCCCACTTCACACACATCTCTCAACTTAATCAAAAGCAAAATGCTAAAGTTCTTTAGGATTTCTTTTAAGGTTTTCGACCAATCATATGCAGCCTTCTTACAAAAAGTACTCTTTCCAATTCCTGGCCGACCATAATCAAGCATTCGTGTATGTTTTCCCTTGAACATGTCGGTATAGTCTTCAAGTTTCTCTTATGTCACTCCGCTGGGCTTCCTGTGATCTCTCACCCAATTTAAAGGTGTGTAGATCTTATTAATCTCAATGGAAGAGCTTTCGTCCCATGGAACGATTTTCACCTTACTAAAGGTGTCATAATAAGATTTTAGCTTCTCTTGGCACTTCTCAACATTCAACGGTTCTGAAAAATATAGAAAAGAAACATGAACTTTTATTGCTGGGATGAGTAAGCATACAACGCCAAGTTTCCAAAACCACACGAACTCTTGCCTGCAGAACAGACGCAAGTTTTTGGCGCTTTTCAGTCAAATGGAGGAAAGGTTGGGGCGAGTGCAAAGTCCGATTTAAATGCGAGGGGAGAAGCTCCAAAACAATATATTATTTTCATTTTATGATCCATCACTAATTTTCGGCATTGAAGCAGCTGAAGTAAACCAGGACAAGAATAATAAATTGTTATAATAAAAGAATAAGGAAATATCTTTTATCGTCTTGCCACGAGTGTTGGACAAAAAAAATTAAGTCCTCCCCAAGGATAGAACCTCCGACCTTTGGAGTCCGCGCTCAGACACTCTATTACTATAAGTATAATATGAGTTATTAAAACGTAAGCTTAATATGAAATTTCTTGCTTGATAATTACAATACCTGCAAGCCTTCTACGTTTATTTTCTGAAGGATCATCACTTTTACAACTCTCCTCTTTTGTTGAAATGTCTGCAAAAGGGAAAAGAAAGTCAAAATGTAATGAGCATTAAAACACACTTCACTACATTTGTGAAATGGGTGACAAGCAGGAGTCGAAATAAGTGCTGATTGGAGATGAAAATCTCATGTGAGCCTGATCACAGTTTAAAAGAGAGAAGAGAAAATTGATGGAAATCAAAAATTGAAATTCATTGGAACGGATAAAAGCTAACATTTAGATCTCAACAAAGTTTTAAACCGGTCAGTAATGGTAAGGTATTTCGTAGAAAGGTAAACTTGGGTTCATCTTACTGCGCACAAGAGTCTGGACACGAAAACAATAGTTATGAGGGCAGGGGAAGGGGGTAGTAACCGTGCTTAATCAGCGATTTGTAATACCTACAATCTAGTACAAAGAAAATAGATTTAAGACTCGTTAAACACAATGAAGATGCAGAAGTGAGTAATTTCTTATTAACCCTCTCTAATCTGGAATTTGAGAACGTTATCCATGACTTCAAAATTGGAATTAAAGCTACCAAAGTGAATTTGTTCCTATCTCAGACTTTTTGAAAGTTCTTTTTCACAGCAATGCGATTGAAAAACAAAGAATGCGTATGTTTTTCATTTTTCTGATATACATTTATTTCACCTGTTGGTCTTCATGTTCTCATCAGCAGATAACGATATTCTATACCATACAAACGCATCAAATGGTCTTCCTTCGCTTTGATTTGGTTACCCACAAATGAAGCGACACTTTCCTGTTGCGAGGTACTGTCAACCACGAACGCAGAAGATACAGTAGCCAGAAAGTATAGTGTCTGAGAATTTAGGCACTATTCTTGTATGTAATTGTATATATTTATTGAATTTCAAGATAAGTGGTATATTACCAGTCATAAGTTGCTCAGCTAAATCTGTGCGTTTAACCAATGGATGACACAGTGCATCATGTAGGATCGTGTATGTTGCAGTTGAGCCATTCCTCTCTTTCCAATGTAGTAACATTCTGTAACTTTTTTCAAACCATCCCTTATTTTCCATATCAAACGCCGTTAATGTTGGTGTGTCAATTTTTAGACGACGCCCGACTACCTTCCAATTTTCGAGTTTCTGCGAAAGCCAATCTAACTCTTCGTCGCTGGGAACTCCTTGCTTAACTAAAAACATAAAGACATCACAGCAAAGCGTCAAGATGAGGGGATAGCGAGTATTACGTATCGCAGCTATTCATGCCATTTTGCTGGATCCACGCATTTTTATTTTACAAAGGCAGGGGGAAGGAAGATGGGGCTGGAGGGTGGGGGCTAACGGGCATGCTCATCGATGTCCTCATTTTACCTCTTACCATCACGGCGTTTCACCTTTGACCGACGCGAATGTTTAGTAGAACCACCTGCATTATAACAAAAAAATCCACGCCCACATACGCGAACAGAAGATATCTTGTTCCTTATTTTTTCAGCCAGTAAGAAAAACTTTCATTGCCACGTAAACGGATTTTGTGACATATTATTTATATCTCTAGTTTGCAATCGAGCGAAAAGCTCTAAAAAACTCTTTTTCATACAATGAGCAACTTGGGTAAAGCCACTCTAAATCTTCATCGCTGTGAACTCCTTGCTTCACCACAAAAATAAAGGCATCACAGCAAAACATCAAGATGAGAGAATAGCGGGTAGTACGTACCGCATCTATTCATGCCATTTTGCTGGATCCACACATTTTTATTTTCAAAAACCAAAAAGGGTTAAAGAAGATGAGGTTAGGGGTTGTGGGTGGTGGTGAGGATTAACGGCCACACCCATAAATGTGTTCTCATTTTACCTGCTAAACGAGTTTTTCTTTTCTTCGGAGTTAAGGCGTCACTTGGAGACGACTCTTCATCACGGCGTTTCACCTTTGGCGAACGCAAATGTTTAGTAGAACCACCTGCATAATAACAAATGTAAAAAACAATAACTAGATCAGAACATATTATTTGAGCCCACAGATTCATTGTAGCAATGAAGCTTTTTTCTGATGAGAAACCACTCTAAATCTTCGTCGCTGGGAACTCCTTGCTTGGCAAAAAACATAAAGACATCACAGCAAAGCATCAAGATGGCATGATTGCGGGTAGTACGTACCGCATCTATTCATGCCATTTTGCCGGATCCACACATTTTTATTTTACAAAAGCAGGGAGAGGGAAGATGGAAGATGGGGTTTGGGGGGTGAAGGTAAACGGGCACGTCCATAGATATGTCCTCAATTTACCTGCTAAACGAGTTTTTCTTTTCTTCGGAGTTAAGGTGTCACTTGGGGACGACGCTTCATCACGGCTTTTCACCTTTGACCGACGAAAATGTTTGGTAGAACTACCTGCATGGTAACAAATGTTAAAAAATCATCAGACAAGAACATATTTTTTGAGCCAATAGATTCATTGCAGCAATGGAGCTTTTTCCTTTTCTAATAAAACGTCTCCTGATTAATTTGTTTCAAGGCCAATTTGTGCCATTCCATTACGCATCCCTACTGTGCATCGTTTTACACGAAAAATCCACGCCCACATATGCGAACAGAAGATATCTTGTGCTTATTTTTTTTCAGCCAGTAAGAAAAACTGTCATCGCCACGTAAACGGATTTGGTGGCATATCACTTATATCTCTAGTTTGCAATCGAGCGAAAAGCTCTAAAAAACTCTTCATGCAGTAAGCAACTTGGGTAAAGCCACTCTAAATCTTCGTCGCTGGGAACCCCTTGCTTGACTAAAAACATTCAGAACATTAATTCATGCCATTTTGCTGGATCCACGCATTTTTATTTTACAAAAGCAGGGAAAGGAAGATGGGGTTGGGGGTGGGGGTTAACGGGCACGCCCATAGATATGTCCCCATTTTACCTGCTAAACGAGTTTTTTTATCCTTCGGAGTGAAGGTGTCACTCGGAGACGACTCTTCATTACGGCGTTCCGCCTTTGACCGATGCAAATGTTTAGTAGAACCACCTGCATGATAACAAATGTTTAAACATTAGAGAAGAACATATTATTGCAGCCAACAGATTCATTGTAGCAATTGAGCTTATTCCATTTCTAATGAAACGTCTCCCTATGAATTTGTTTCAAGGCCAATTTGTGCCATTGCATTATGTATACCGATAATGTATCGTTTTACTCGAAAATTCCACGCCCACATACACGAACAGAAGATATCTTGTTTTTTTTGTTTTTGTTTTTTTTTTCCGCCGGTAAGAAAAACTGTCATCGCCACGTAAACGGATTTCGTGACACACCATTTATACCTCTTGTTTGCAATCGAGAGAAAAGCTCTAAAAAACGTTTTTCCATTCAATAAGCAACTTGAGTAAAGACACTCGAAATCTTCGTCGCAGGGAACTCCTCGCTTGACTAAAAAAAGAAAGACATCACAGCAAAGCATCAAGATGAGAGGATAGCGGGTAGTACGTACCGCATCAATTCGTGCCATTTTGCTGGATCCTCGCATGTTTATTTTACAAAAGCAGGGAAAGGGAAGATGGGGGTGGGGGCGGTGGTGTAGCGGGCACGCCCATAGATATGTCCTCACTTTACCTGCTAAACGAGTTTTTTGTTTCTTCGGGGTTAAGGTGTCACTTGGAGACGACTCTTCTTCACGGCGTTTCACCTTTGGCCAACGAAAATGTTTAGTAGAACCACCTGCATGATAACAAATGTAAAAAAATAATTAGATCAGAACATATTATTTGAGCCAACAGATTCATTGTAGCAATGGAGCTTTTTCCTTTTCTAATAAACATGTCCTGATGAATTTGTTTCAAGGCCAATTTGTGCCATTCCATTACGCATCCCTACTGTGCATCGTTTTACACAAAAAATCCATGCCCACATACGCGGACGGAAGATATCTTGTGCTTTTTTTTTTCAACCAGTTAGAAAAACTGTCATCGCCAAGTAAACGGATTTGGTGGCATACCATTTATATCTCTAGTTTGCAATCGAGCGAAAAGCTCTAAAAACTCTTTTTCATACAATGAGCAACTTGGGTAAAGCCACTCTAAATCTTCGTAGCTGGGAACTCCTTGCTTAACTAAAAACGTAGAGACATCACAGCAAAGCATCAAGATGAGAGAATAGCGGGTAGTACGTACCGCATCTATTCATGCCATTTTGCTAGATCCACACATTTTAATTTTACAAAATCAGGGCAAAGGAAGATGAAGTTTAGGGGTTGGGGGTTGGGGGTTAACGGGCACGCCTATAGATATGTCCTCATTTTACCTGCCAGACCAGTTTTTCTTTTCTTCGGAGTTAAGGCGTCACTCGGAGATGACTCTTCATCACGGCGTTTCACCTTTGTAGAACCACCTGCATGATAACAAATTAAAAAAAAAATTAGATCAGAACATATTATTTTTTAACCCACAGATTCATTGTAGCAATGGAGCTTTTTCCTGATGAAAAGCCACTCTAAATCTTCGTCGCTGAGAATTCCTTGCCTGACTAAACACATAAAGACATCACAGCATAGAATCAAGATGAAAGGATAGCGGGTAGTACGTACCGCATCTATTCATGCCATTTTGCTGGATCCACACATTTTTATTTTACAAAATCAGGGAAAAGGAAGATGGGGTTGGGGGGTGGGGGGTTAACGGGCACGCCCATAGATATGTCCTCATTTTACCTGCTAAACGAGTTTTTCTTTTCTTCCGAGTTAAGGCGTCCCCCGGGGACGACTCTTCATCACGGCGTTTCACCTTTGACCGATGAAAATGTTTAGGAGAACCACCTGCATGATAACAAATGTAAAACAAAATAATTAGATCAGAACATATTATTTGAGCCAACAGATTCACTGTAGCAATGGAGCTTTTTTCCTTTCCTAATGAAACGTCTCCTAATGAATTTGTTTCAAGGCCAATTTGTGCCATTGCATTATGCATCACTACTGTGCATCATGTTACACAAAAAATGCACGTCCACATACGCGAACGAACCTTACGCTTACAGTTGGCAGTTGTGTAGAGAGTAAATTTTGTGCCACCAGAAAACTACATCAAAATATATACGCATCAAATGATCTTCCTTCGCTTTGATTTGGTTACCCAAAAGTAAAGCGACACTTTTCCAGTTTCGAGGCACTGTCAACAACGTATATAAAAGATACAGTGGCCAAAAAGCATGGTGTCTGAGAATTTAGGCAAAGATGGCCGAAATGAAAGCAAAAGCAAACAGCTTGATAAATGTTCTCTTCGCTACATTAAAGGGAACATTTCTCTTTGGGTCTTCCATTAGTGTGCATGGAGACTAAACCTCTTCCCAACTCGAATTTGCCCCAACGAAACATAAAGTATTGACCAGTTTCATTCAATAACTTTGAGATATACAACGTTCATCATTTTCTCAGCAGTTTCCTTTGATTGATGATAGCGCACTCAGCGAAGGGATCATGTGTTACAGAGACAACTCATGGCACTTTAACAAACAAGGTTTCATGTATAAAACGACAAATTTGCTCCAACATAACTTGCAAGTTCATAAGGGTTAGCATCCATTTCTGACAGGAGTTTGTTATAGGATTACTCTTACTAGTATTATGAAATGTGAATCAAATGTTCAGTTAGCAATGATAATTTGGTTTCATTAACTGAGTTGATAACGTAAATTGGCCTCTGTAGAGAGATTCTGAAGCTGATGCTTCGAGTGTTAGACCTTCGTTGGACCGATTAGGAAATGTGGGTTGGGTGTGGTTAATAAAATGGGGGTTGGGCTGGGGGGGAGGGAAGGGGGGTTAAGGCAGGAGTTTCTAGGTGTATTATTGGGGGGTCGGTGGTCTTCTTCCCAGAGGGAAAAATGCTATCAAACATTCAACGGTTTCAAGAAATATTTAAGAAAAAAAAACAGGTATTAACTTTTATTGAAAGAATAAATATGCATACGATGCCAAATTTGTAAAACCAAACAAACTCAAGTTCAGTTTCCTTGGCATGAAAGCATTAAGGTAATTAACCCCTGCCGCCGCGCTCTCTCCCTTCCCCCCTTCAAAAACAAACCCACACTCAGTTCATCAAGTTTTACCTTTCTCGGTAGCTCTTCTTAAATTGCAGGGAAGATTAAATTTCTAGCATTGATTTCATCATGGATCAATAATGTTGGGAAACGAAGCGGCCAAAGTAACAACAAAAAACTTCATGAATTTTAATTTCGTAAAATTTTGCGGAGTACTATTTCTTGAACAATAATAACAAGTTGGTAGAAGAAAAGGAAAGAGAAGAATTTTGACTGTCCTGTCACGAGCGTGAGACAAAGGAACAATTTTGAGTCCTCACCAGGAATAGAACCTAACACATCCAGATTCCGCGCTCGGACACTCCACCACTTTAAGTATAGTATAAGTTATTAAAACGAAAGCTTACTATGAAATTTCTTCATTTGATAATTATAATACCTGCTAGCCTTGTACGTTTATTTTCTGAAGGATCATCACTTTTACAACTCTCCTCTTCAGCTGAAATGTCTGCAAAAGGGAAAGGAAAGTCAAACTGTAATGAGCATTAAAATATGCCTTACTAAATTTGTGAAATGGGTAACAAGCAGGAGTCGAAATAAGTGCTGATTGAAGATGAAAATCTCGTCTCTAAAAGAGAGAAGAGAAAATTGATGGACTTCAAGAATTGAAATTCATTAGAACGGAATAAAAGCTAAGATTTAGATCTCAACAAAGTTTTAAACCGCTCAGTAGCAGTTGGGTATTTCGTAGAAAGGTAAACAAAGAAAATTTGGGTTCATCTTACTACGCACAAGAGTCTGGACACGAAAACAATAATTAGGAGGGCAGGGGGATAAACTCTCTCTAATCTGGAATTTTAGAATCTTATCCATGACTTCAAAATTGGAATTAAAGCTACCAAAGTGAATTTGTTCATATCTCAGACTTTTTGAAAGTTCTTTTTTCACAGCAATGCAGAAGATTGTGAGAGTTAAACTGCTCAGTCTTCATGCGACTGCCGAAAATTCAATGCGGAAATCTAATACTAAGGGAGAATTAATGAGAGGGAGATATGGAGAGCGAATCAGCATTTACTCAGAAGATTCGAGTGTTCCAACTCAAGAGAATGAATTTCGGTTTTGTACGTGTCACTTTTATAACTAAGGATGGAATTGAACATGAAAAAATAACATTATTTTGTAACAGGGAACGTCAGGCCTCTGTGTCCAACCATCCGGTAAGATGGATTTTCATAACAAGATTCATACCAGTAGAGCCTAAGTTTCTTTCTTTAATCGGTAAGCTATCTGTGCGCGAAAATCAACTTTTCATGAACTGATATGGAAAACCAATTGGCAGTTTACTCCGCAGTGAATCTATTTCGGTTTTGCGCGCTCACCTCTATAACTTCAGAGGGATTTGAGCATGTAAAAATGAAATATTTATTCTCTTTTAACAAGGAACCTCAGGCTTCACGGTCCATCCCTGTGGAACTGTTTGATTTTCATCACAAGATAAATCACCCTCTCACTGAAGCTTCTTTTTATCAACGGTAAGCTATCTGTGTGGGATAAACGACTAATTGTCTTCGTGCACTTTTCATTTCCTAACGGGTGTGATTTGCACGATCAAAGACACAACTATTAACAGTTATAAAACAATTGAGATAGTTCGATCGCACTCATAGGTCAACTAGTCAGTTTAGACCAGAGTCTGTAGAAACAGCTAGTTGTGACGCACACTTTTAATGTTTGCCAGCGAAATTTGAAAACATTTCAAACTCAAAGTTTTCCCAATACTCGCAATTAATTTCAAGTAAAAATAACAAATATTGGAATTGGAGGAAAATTTGCCAATTTTTATCTGGGGTTTGGCTACCTCCCATTCTACTGTATTTTCGCTGAGCCGCATGCTTGGCAATGCAGCTTTTAATACACCCTGCTCGCGCAGCTAAGCAAGGCCCTTACGAACGGCAGCCCTTGCGTCCTTTTGATATTGAGATATGCACATATTGATTTGATGCTTCGCTGGTAGCATTTTGAGACAGAAAACCATAGTTTTCCGAAACAATGCAGAACAAAACAAGCTGACTGCGTTGAATAACAATAGCAAAAACTCTCTTAAGACACACGCTTTAGCACGCCCTTTTTTTTTGGCGCAGAACGCGAAAAACGTGCAAAGGTTTTGCGTGTGCGTTGGCCATCTACCTCTGAGCTAGTGTAAGTTATTGAATAACGTCTGAGAGCACTTCACAGCATTCTTTGATATTCTTAAACTAGAGAAGAGAATGAGGTAAAAACACCTTTGAAATAATTTGCATTGACCAGTATCATTTTTCATAATTGCTGACAGAAGCATTCTTGGTTATTAATCACATTAATTTCTATTTCAAAAGATGACTAAAATCACATTCAGGTTCTTTTTTCATTTCTCCTTTCTTTTCCCAATAGCTTCACTCCTACAGCTTTTCTGGCCAATTTATGCACCTATGAATTCTTTCACTTCTTCAACATCAATACATCAAAACAACAAGTCAGTGATTTGCCATGTTGGTTTCCTTTTTATTGGAGCATGTGAGGGGGAACTGAAACCAAACTGGAGCCCATGCTAGGCATCAATGAGTCAACAAAAACAACTGAAAGTGGTAAACCCCACACTTTTTAATTCATTTCAACATGGTTTGATACCAGTTAAAATCAACTTAATGGACTTAAAAGTGGTTTTTTACTTCCCAATAACAAAAAGAAAAACTCAACCAACAGGAAGAACCATATTTCAATTAAATTAACTTGAAAAATAAGTTCAAACTGAGCATCCTGTTCACCTGTCCTTCCCCTTGATTCTTCTAGTTCTCTTCCATGGCCAGTAGTGGGTACTACAGTGAGGGGTGAAGTACCTTAAGGTGAAAAATGCAGAGAGATTAGCATTCACAGCCTCTCTTCAAATGTTTTGTTCCCATAAGTGGAACTGTGTACAATTATGTTAATTTATTGATGCCACATTATCGCACTGGGATAATTCTTTGAACATTTATCACATTAATGTTATAACTGTTCGAACAACAACTTCCCATAATAACTTAATAAAATATTTTTATCACTTTTTCCCCATGCTCTGTTGCCAGCATGCCAGTCTGCTTATTCTGCTCTTCAGGTTTCAAGTCATCCACCTCAACCTTAATTTTCAATTCACTATCTGTCTAATTGTAACAGTCAAATTTAATCCTACTATAGCAAGGTTCTTTTACCTGTTACCTATATCACCATTGAAATGTGAGAACATGATATCAAGGCGACACTAATCAAACAGAGAGCTTGTTAGCAATGAATAGATTACCACATACAGTATATCTGTTGAGCACAGTTCAGTTTCAATTTCTTTTGCATCTTTATCTTATTCCATAGTAGAATCAAAATTCTGATTAATCTAAACGATTACAGTTTCAAATATGGAAATATCTCAACAGCTTTAGCTAGGGTTAGGATCATTTTTCTCTTGTATAACAAAGCCTATTGTTAACAATGTTGAGCCACTTTTCTTGATACGAGTTACAAGATCTCTTGGAAGACACAACCAAAGCTGTTACAAAAATGAACACGTACCTCCATAATGAGGCCAGTCTCCAAACACACAAGAGTTACTCAACATAATTGAGTAATTTCTTATTAACCCCCCAGGTAAAATGTCAGGCGGGATATAGGCGGGATCCCGGCAATCCCACCCAGGATCCCAGGTGGGAATGGCGGGATCCCGCCTTAGGTGGTGGGATCCCACCTTTCCCACCTGGGATGAAAATTTGATCCCACCTGGGATCCCGCATTTAATGCGGGATTCCTGCATCCCACCCGGGATCTTAGGTGGGACTTATGCATTCTACCCGGGATCCTGGTTGGGATTTACATATCCCACCTGGGATTCTTTATCCCACCTACAAAAATATTGTTTTGCTGTTTTTATTCTTACAAAACGTTTTTGTGAGAGTTCCAATACTTATGGATCATCCACACACTCCGCAAATATTTGGCATGCAGACAAGACAGAGGTGGTCACTGTTCCCTTTGAGAAAATACACCTTTTAAATGACTTCTTCAATTTGCTTTATTTGAAACTCTGATCTGAAAATATTTTTAAAACAAGACTTGTTAGTAGTGAGAAGTACAAACCGAGTTTCTTTTCATAACTTAATTTCTTTTTAATATTTTTGGTGCAAAATACAATTCCTTCTTTACATACAAATGAAAAGTACAAGTCACAGTTCAATAATAACAGCTCTAAAGTTTACTTGTTGTTCTTCTCTGTGTCAGAGATCAACAAAATTTTTCTATACCTTGTAGGTCTGGTATAAAATTGTACTTGTAGTATAAAATGACAACCTTGTATCTTCGTTCTCTCCACCCCTTTCCAAGCTCGGTAACGCTTCGGACTGTGCATAACCATTTGCAGACGAGAATTCCAATGCACCTCTGTAATCGCATGTAGTTGCTTCTGTCTCTCGTGCAAATGTTTTCTCCGTTATGAGACGCACTTGACTCTGTTGGCACCACTGCTAGTTCACTGGAAAGACCGACTGAGGAATCGAGATGGCTAACTGTGTTGAAACGTGTTGCTCAACGCTTGTTGTGGTCAAGCCTTGTTGATTTGGGTACTGGTACACTGTGATCATCTAGGTATCTCTTATACTTCCTAATGTTATTGGCTTGTGTTGTTTCTCACCTTCGCCGTGAACATAACTCAAGTGGGTTTCGAGTCTTTCTTTCCTCGAAAACTTTCGGCCACAAATCGTGCATTCTTGTTCGATTCTTGTCGATTATTTCTACATAGAGTGAATTCACATCATTATTTATGTCATCATCAAAACATGAATCCAAGGTATCCACCATCTAAGAGAGGAGAACCGATCAGAAGAGACAGAATAATGTTGCGCGCTTCTCTTGAGACTGCAATGGGTCAAGCCAGCGGATTCTCTTTGGTAAAAGGTCCACGTGATCATGCCCGTAATCGGAAACAAAGAAAACTCTATTTGGCGCTCATCTTTGAATGTACTTTTCATCGGTTAACCGCTCTTGCTTCAAGTTGTTTCTTTTCCCAACTGTTTTGCCTAATATAACACTTCTAAAGATTGGTTTTATTGTGGTTTAATGGGAAAACGAGAACAGCGTGAGTGTTTTAAATGAAAAGAAAGTCGTTGGCGCCGTGAACTTAAAAGAAGGGACAATTAACAGTTGACATATCGACTGGTTCAAACAACGATCGAGTGGCCATTTAAAGCTAGGATTTTTAGAAGTTTGTGGTGAGTACAAATTGCCATATTCGTTACGTGATCAAAATCTTATCAAAGAATAGAAATAACGGCTTGAATTAATCTTACCTAACACTCAGCGCAACTGAAACTCAAATAATTCTGAGAATCGAATTGGTCGCTTGCATACTGCAGTTTCCTAAGCTTACACTTTACAATGAACTAAATCTATGAGTAAGGTTTCAAGATTACTTTAGTCACATTTGGGAACATTCTGACCTTGCTTTGCTTTGAAAAATTCGACTGAAGAGAGAGCAGACTTTCAATCAGTACCTTTGTCAAAATTTTGATAACATGAATTATTGAGGTTTTGTCTTTCTTTTATTCTTTGATACACAACAGCCAATTTTTTTAAACGTTGAGCCTTATTACACTGTAGATGGTCTGCTTAAATGATGAAGAAAAAGTAATATGCTGAGTTTTGCTGTTATTCTTTAAGAATGTTCGGTTAAGAAATTTGTTAATGAAACAAGTCAAACACATGCTGGTTCATTGCAAATAAATTATGAGATCTTTATCACATATAGTCTGTGTATTCATGTACTGTTTGAATCATTTATGATCAATAGCTTGGTAAGACAATGGGATCCCATTGGAGGTGTCAGTATGTTCTATAGCTAGTTGGAAAGTTTTGAACCCTCAGTGGATTGATGGGGTCTATAGCTCACCTAGAAAATTTTATCCTCTTAATTTTAAGATATCCTATCCAGTACATTTCATAAATCTGTGGTCTCCAGTGATAAACAGGATCCCTCAAAGGATTTTTCTGAAAGTGGGAAGCCATCTGTAATTTTGGGATTGGCAGGATCCCAGATGCAATCCCGCCTGGGATATGATTTCCCAGGTGGGAAACTATCTGAAATTTGAGGCAGGATCCTAAGACGGATTGGTGGGATTCTAGGTTTAATCCTGCCTGGGATGTGCTTTCCCAGGTGGGATGCTATTAGGAATTTAAGGCGGGATCCCAACTTCAATTGGCAGGATCCCATGTGGGATCCCATGCGGGATGTTCCATAATCCCAGGTGGGATCCCATGTGGGATGTTCCATAATCCCAGGTGGGATCCCATGCGGGATGTTCCATAATCCCAGGTGGGATCCCATGCGGGATGTTCCATAATCCCACCCGGGATGTTCCATAATCCCACCCGGGATGTTCCATAATCCCACCCGGGATGTTCCATAATCCCACCCGGGATCCCATGCGGGATGTTCCATAATCCCAGGTGGGATCCCATGCGGGATGTTCCATAATCCCACCCGGGATCCCATGCGGGATGTTCCATAATCCCACCCGGGATCCCACCTGAAAAAGGCGGGATCCCACCTGGGACACACATGGGATCCCAGGTGGGATTGGCGGGATCCCACCTTATATTTTTACCTGGGGGCCCCTCTAATCTTGAATTTTAGAATGTTATTTATGACTTCAAAATTGGAATTAAAGCTACCAAAGTGAATTTGTTCATATCTCACACTTTTTAAAAGTTCTCTTTTAAGGCAATGCAATTGAAAAACAAAGAATGTGTATGTTTTTCAGTTTTTTGATACATATTTAATTCCACTGTTGGTCTCCATTTTCTCATCAGTAGATAACAATATTCTATACCGAGGAAAACAAGCAAGCTACAAAATCTCTTGGAAGACACAATCAAAGCTGTTACAAAAATGTACACGTACCTCCGTAATTATGCCAGTCCCCAAACACAAAAGAGTTACTCAACAGGTTGGATACAACAGAAGCTGCCATAACACAAGCAAAAGTCTTCCATGAATTGTTTTTAGTTGCACTGCCAGGTACAAAACCACAAACACCTTTAACAACAAGCCACTCCATCTTTATGTCATGAGCTGCTGCAAAAAGACCTGAGGTAGAAAAATGAAAAAAATAAGCAATAACTATTGCAATGAATTTAAACAGTGATATTATGGGAAATAGTTACGATTAATTGGAGCAAAAGAGGCTCTGTTTTTCTGCAGATCATTCGTTTTGTTTGTTCTTTGTTATTGGAGTACTTTAAGAGATGTTGTGTTTTTCTGCTGGTATACAAATTAGCACCACTCTTTCTAGAGAGTATGAATGAGTAGGGCAGGGTACCTTTTTAGTCAGAAGCAGTATAGAATAAGGATTTGGAATTCAGGAAAGAGTTTCCCCGAACACAAAGTATGGAGTACCTCACCTCCAACAAGAACCTGGTTAATAGTGTAGCAATCAGAAGCTTTGAATGGTTGAAAAGTGAGGCTTGAAAATATGACAAGTTGGAGGGTACAGTGCAATAAAGATTACCATTATGCACCTGTGCTGACCACTCCCCTACAAAAAGTTGTTAAGTACCTGCCCTCCTCCCGGCTTAATAGTTTAGCAAACGGATCTTCCTGTAGTTCAGAGGTAAAGCTTACGAACATCAAAGTCGAGGGTATACTGTAAAAATCATTATCATTGTATGCTTATGGTGACCAATCCCCATACAAAAAAATTGCTAACTTTCTTTCCTCCTTCAGAAACTTAGCCTTACAAAGTAGTGACCAGAAACTTGATCCTCTCTAACCCTGTAGCTCAGAGGTAAAGCTTGAGAACATCAATTTGGGGATACAGTGTAATACACACTATGTTTGAAAACCTCTGGGACTACTCATAATTTATTTCTTGCTCGCAGTACACCTTCGTATATGACTGGGTACAATCATATTTCTAGTAATTTCTTGGTTACTGGGTCACTTGGACGAGATCAGAAAGTTATATTATGAAGATATGAACGATGATTCCATCTTAATTTACTAGTGCCAATCAGTACATATGCCCAAAGTAGGCACATGAAAAAGAGGAAAAGGAGTTTACCTTCAGTTACATGTAATTGAACATTTTATGTAATTGGCTTTGGTCAGCTTTGTATGAGTGATCCTGGTAACATTATATTGCACTTGTTATGGATAGTGACTGTTAAAACAAGTTTCTAGAAATTTCTAGAATGCCTGGTCATACTGAAATGCATATACCATTGGACTTTCTAGAACAATTTATTAGATCACATTGTTATGATGTATTACTACAGAAACAGTTGTGTTGTAAGTTTCCAAAATGTTCTGGAATACTTTCTAAATGTAAATAAGGACTCAGTGATGTAGTAGTAGTTGTTGCTGTTGTCAGTAGTGATCAGATGTCTAGAAAGCTGTATATAAAAAGAGAGCTTCTGTGGAAGATTGTTCACTTCAAGGAAGTTTGGAAACACATGTGAGATTGTGTCAGTGGTGAGCTAACTCATAGTCTGTAATGGGCCTAAGTAAGTCTATCAAGGATCACTACTGTGCTGTCTTTAAGAGTCACTCTTTATCAATGTTTCATGCTGTTTAATAAAGTTGTTGAGTTTATAGGAGCATTGTGTTCTTTTTATCCTTTAAATTATACCGTAACACACTGGACACAATGAATACATGTAATCCTTGTTATGGCAAAACCATTTCCTGCACAATGATCACAGATGCCAAGCAAGAGTAACCCTGAGAGTAATTCTCACCTATTCCTTCCATTTCAACTGCAATTGCCCCAGGGTGTAATTGACACTGCTGTTCAGCACCAATCAAATCAGAGCAACTCAAAATCTCTCCATCCCAATGTACTTTGACCTTTTGCGCTTCTGGGTTTTGTAATGGTGCCTTCCATCCATCAGCTGCACTTTTGACAAGGTTACCAACATCCCTACTCACTGGGGTTTTGTAATGATCTATTGTGAGCTGTGAGGATATCACCACATCTCCTAGCTGGGCTTTGTCAGGATTCAAACTGTAGCAGAAACCAACCAAAAAGGTAGCCTTAGGTCTCAGGAGTGTGATGGCATTCTTAGCAGAAGTTTGAGAACCTCCAGGATCCAAGGATTCTATAGAAAACTTCACTAAAGCAACTTTCAGTGACTCCTCTTCATCGTCACCCATCTTTCCAAAGTACACATATCCAATGGATTTCTCATAGCTTCTAAAGGAATCTCGCAAGTAATGATGACAAGCCAAGAACTCGCAATCCTCCGCAGTCAAGAGCAGAAAGTCAACTGGAGAATAGTCCACGTCCCAATGTTTCACCTTCTTTGGAAAATCTCTAAGCTCCTTCAGTGTAATACTCAGAGGCGGAGGGTCATCATTGCAAACCACTGACCTGCTGCACTTGTCATTACTAGGTCCTGCCATCATAACAAACTGGATCTGTTTTCAAAGTTTTCCTGAAGTGAACAAACGAAATCAGAAACCAATTAAAAGTGATATCAATATAAATTATTTGTAAACACATTTGCCTATAAGCAGGTCACATATCTGAAAGGTGATCAAAGTGTGGCAATGGGAAATGCTGATAAACAGTAAGACTACCAAGCCTAAACCACACCCGGTATCTGGCACTGAATGTAAGAGCTGGCTAAAGATGCTCGGTGTTATATATACAATGTACCACCCAAGCTGACTTCAAGATATGGACCTTAAGTGAAGACAAAGATCAATTTCTGTTTAACAAAATCACCACCATGAAAAACCATCCATCTCAAGATCTCTTGCTGCCAAAATGAACAAGAATACTAAGGACAACAGGGAATGAATTCCAACTCCCCCAGATAAGAAATGAAATATATAAAAACTTGTTTATGAACAGATGTCTTTTCAAACTTGTGTGATCATATTCCATTACGTCTGATTATTCCTTTTTATCTCTTTTTATATCACGTTGAAAATAACAAATTCTCTCTATTATTCATGATTTTTGACTGTAAAGGCTGATTTTTTCAATACACAATTCATCATCGTCATCACCATCAAGTATGCTCCATATTTCTATCTCTACCATACAAAGTGTCCATTAAAATTACACTATAAACCACAGTTTGAGATTTCAAAGAGCAAGTATTCTAACCATTAAAACATTACTTTTTCCTCAGATGTGTAAAAAGTTTTTAATGTGGATGTCACCAGCATCTTTAATAGTGATGTCCTGCTAACAGCACATGCAAAACCACAATATAAGGTTTATAAACAGGTACTGGTATAGTGTTTAGTTGCCAGCCACCAAAAAACACTAAATATAAATGCTAGGGCTAAAATTTAATTCAGATTTAGACAAGTAATTAATGCTTTGTCTGATTTAAGCACAGTGTGTAGTGGGTGCTTCAGAAATGTGTAACCAGCAAAGATGCCAGCCACTCAGGTGCCTCTGAAGAACTGTGAATGATTCATTTGAATGAACATTGTTTGATTACTAAATTTACTGTCCCCTTTGTCCTACTTTGTTTTGTTTGATTTATGTTTTAACTTCAAAGCTGTTTTTGCATGTTAATAGATTTTGAACTGTCAAAATGTACATAGATTTTGAACAGTAAAGTTAGTCAGTTAGGAAGCCTTTCTTATAGGGATAACCTCAGGGGTTTCCCTATTAAAATACTGTATATTTGTGTTTGAATCAAGAGTTATTATCATTATTTTTTTTTATAATTATTATAATAACTGTTATAATTCCACCCATATAACACTTTTAATAATAATGTTAGAAGTATATCATTTTGTAACTCCTTTAAGATTCAGAGTTCAAGATTCCTGTAAGTTAGCTCAAGAAGGAGGAAAAATTCATACTTTATGGCTCAAATTTTGCTTCTTGCAGGAAGTTCATTCCATTTCAATTATTCTTTAAAAATTATTTTTGAGAGAAAGGGTGGGCTTGTTAATTCTCTTGTCTCGGGTTACACTCAGAGTGGATTTCCACAAAAGTTCAAAAATAACCTCAAGTTCCTTAGTCTTTCTGTAGCAATGAATTGAGGGTCATAACAAACCCTAAGATAATATTTATTACCAAAAGCTAACACCCAAATGTGCATAATGCGGGTATCAGCGGCCATCCCGAGGGGTCGACCCCCGGGCAACCCAAGGGCAACCCACGGGCTTAGCAGGGGATTTGTAGCAAAGGCATGCCCCGCACGCGGGGCATTAGAGCGCTTTTGCGTTTTTGGCAAAATACCCCGGGGCCATACCCACGGGATTTGCACGTAATCTGCTGTTTCAACGTTCAGCGGTTTTCGCCACAGGACAAGCAAGCTCGCTCGCTCGATGTTCTACTAGCCCTCGAGGTAAGTCATACCATTATCATTCAAATTAGATATAAATAATGAAGAAGAATCAAGAATCTGTTCAATGCATTTTAAGGAAAGCGACATCGAGATTTCAATTTCATACGGTTAGTTCGCATTCGAAGCGTCTTGCTATAAGATTAAATTAAACTCTGCTTTGTTTAGAGCATGCTTGCCAAACCAACAGTACTATCGCGTGGGAGAATAACTGTAACAACATTCAACACGAACATTGTAAATATAAGCATTGTTTACAAATGCCTTCATGAATAGTCACGGTTCTTTTTCTACTCCTCCATCATCTTTAGTTACGTAACATTCGATTATCGATACACATTTTTTATTCAAGATCAAGTTTATTCAACTAGTTTACCGAAAATGTTTTGACGTTTGACAGTATGCAAATATCAAGCGCTTTTGATTGAAATCAAAATGGAATCTCCTGAGGGAATACACCGTACCGTCGGCAAGATGTCAATCCACTCATTACCAATGCAAACACAAAGCGTGTGTGTTATTCATATGCTAAGTTGAAAACAATTACTCTTCATTTGTCCAATAAAAACTGTAGAATTTCGATCCGCCGTACGCTATGAAAGTGTATAAAATGACTAGAGTAGCGACCAATTGTCACTCGATCTAGTCTAGCTCGCGGTTTTTATCAGTTGTGCTATCACTTGCTTATACTTGAGATCAGTAATCATGTCTCTCAGACTGTTGTGCAAACAGAATAGGCGTCCTTTGAATGCGTTGTTTTACTTCCGGCAAGAGCAAAAAACCGGGATCGCACCAACTCGAATAATCATCGAAAAACAACTGGATTAGACTGTAGGAATGGTGGTGACTGTCAATTGGGATGGAGAAAAAGTAGAAGCGGAGATCCTGGCTTTAGATGGTAAGTCTCGCTTAGTCCATTCTACTTCAAATTGCTGGATACACTGGGTGTCAGAGGCTTTTCACGCGCGGTTCCCGGTTTCGAGTCTTCAAAGTGACCTATTTTTCTCGCGGCTTCGCCGCTCGTCTCTTCGGCCTCGGCCGAAGACAAGTTTTTCGTCGGCCGAACAACGCGAGAAAAAAGAACTCTGGAACCCAGGGTAATTAAAGGAGTGTAGTTAACCTAATTAATTACCTTTAGCTAAGGTTTTGCTACACATCGAAGATTTTTTTTTACTGGCTCAAGGAAACACTCTCGGAAACACACTCTGTATTTAGCGCTATATAAATCTAATTTATTATTATTATTGTTCTTATTATTATCACCGTCATTAAAGGACATTCAATTTTGCTTGTAGATGACGTGAAAGTTCTAAACACGAAGGAAATTGTCACTATAAATTGTGCCTGTTAGTTCCGAAGATACATGGTGGGGAAAGCGTCGCCTGTGTTCGGAAACGAGATGTTTACAAAGTCAATTAATGGCGTTACATTACGAATTCTGGAAATGGTTGCATGACAATTATTTTAAAAGAGAACGCAGACTATTACCGGCTTTTGTTTCTCCCCCGCGAAAACGAATTTGCTTTACTCTCAAAAGACTTATTATTTTCAAAACAGGATTAGATTTATTCTAGGTTTTCTATCAGTTTTCAGATCTAAGCGGCGCGTGTCGCGTTTATCTTAATTACTGTCATTTCGTTCGAATGTTTTTGATCGGCCATTCAACCGTTTACTTTGACCTTATCCGTTGAAAACTTCAGCCGTTCAGCCGGTCGAAATTTTCCTTCAGCCGTTCAGCCGTTCGACTTCAACCGTTCGAAACTTTTCTGAAGCCGTTCAGCCGTTCGACTTCAACCGTTCGACTTCAACCGTTCGAAATTTTCCTTTAGCCGTTCAGCCGTTCGACTTCAACCGTTCGAAATTTTTCTGAAGCCGTTCAGCCGTTCACGGCATCCGTTTTAAACGGTTTCTCTATCCGTTTGTCATCCGTTCACATACCGTGCGTTCGACCGTTCGAACGGATACCGTAAGGAACGTTTTCGCGTGAGAGGTCACAGTTATTTGATGAAGGCAAAAGAGAAGAAAAATTAGGGGTCTTATTGGATTTCATAGAAGCAAACAGAATTGCAGAGTCTCAGGAGACTCAGCAGTGAAGATTGCCTAAAACTATAAACCTTCATCCAATTCAGTGAGATATCCTTTCACCAATCCATGTCAAATTTCTTAACCTCTTTTTTACTTTCACCCATGGACTCTTCTCCTTTTTATCTTTCCCCATTCACATTCTAGTTTTAAATGCAGACAGATAGCAAAGATCTCCATGTGCATCCAAAATTAAGAGGTTTATGCAATTAAAATTCAAGGACCAGGATGTTTTGCCACAAGAAACCTTACCGTAGCCATTTATGTAATGACATGTTACAAATGGTTCTTCAACTTGGCCCATTCAAAAATACTTTAGTGTCAAAAGAAATATTTAGGGAAGTACTACTGATTGTAGTTAAAAACCCATCAGCTTGAGCACTAAGTTTCCAGTGTTTACCATTAAGAGAGGGATTTATCCATATGTTAGAAAAGAACTTTATATTACGTAGGCTATCTTGAGTCAGACATCAAGTTTATAGCAGTGTTTTGAAGCCTGTGAGTGAGCTTTCTTTTTTCCTGATATTCTCTTCCAGTGGCTACATTCTATCATTACAAATATCTGTCTTTGAAATTCTATTCAAAGGGCTGATAAGTTCAATTTAGCCTGCATTTCTTTCATGGGTCAGACAATTCATCAATGTCAAACTCCAAAATAATAACATGATAAATAAAATCTTCATCTACCTTGGCAGCTTGACAGAGCTTTGAACAAGAACTAATGACAGATATGTGATGGATTCAAAACTGGTGGTGAAGTTGAAAGGAGTGTTAATATTCAAACTAGTGTTACCCCTCTTTTGATCTGCATCAAGGTTCTTCAAAACGTCTCTGTACATGCAGTGCATGGTTTATTGAAGTTAGTGCGTATCACAGCAGCAATTAACGTTTACAACAGTGACTTTATTTGACTACATCTGGTCACAAATAGTAGTCATCGAGAAGAAAATATATGAGTGTAATAGCTATCTAATGCTTAATTGTGCCTGCTTTCCATGAATGAACGTTGAATATTTAAGGATCATTTTTCCCTTCAAAACAAAAAGACCTTCTGCACCTAAATTAATAAGTGAGGGAGTTTTGTGTATTCCACAGCTTTAAACTAGAAGAGGGGGGAACAATAAACGTTTTTGGCAATATTGATCTTAGACAGCGTACAAGCTAACTCAGCCTCCGATTTCCTCGGATAATAATCAGAGATTTGCATTTCGATTGATAAACATAATATCGCAAAATATCGAAGAGTGCGGTCATTCTGCGACTTTTGAATGAAGGTCCAAATGAACATCGAGAGATTTGATGAACAGAACTTAATAACTGAAGATATAATCGATGGTAATGGTCAGAGTCTTGATTTTACTTTGTCTTTAATAGATCTTGTTTATATTTCCTTTCTATTGTCTTCGTTATGGAGGTGATTCAAAGCGAAACATGTTCAAGATTAATCACCAAGCAAACTTAACTTGCTCTGTTAGAAAATTTGTATGCTGCAAAATGATTTATATTTTGATTTTAACACAACATTGTGGGGATAAAATATAACTTGCTGCAGTTTGTGGTGGATAACGAAAACATTTTCACTCCACTGAGCACAAACTAAAGACGGAAAGTACTTCTTCCTTGTTAACATAACAAGCTTGACTTGAATCGTGCTTTAATGAAGCGGAAATTCGGTGATATTTTCGGGAATTCAACTACGCTCCACTCACATATGTACCAAGAAGACTAACAAATCCTCAGGATGTCAACTTACCGTTTTCCCGAGATCCTGATTCGTCTTGTGAGAGTTCAGCAAGAAATCCTCCAAGTTGAAAAGCAAACGATTAAGAAGTTTGTCAACACTCCAAAACCCAATCAGCGTTCACACCTGCAAGTCACATGTTGTTTGAAACATCTGTCTGCAGAACGCGATAAAGAACGCCTGGGAGAAAAACGCAAGAGTCGCGCGATCATGCTCACTTTCTTTTGTAAACCTTCATTCAAACAAACAACTTAGAACAAAAACCAAGAGATGTAGGTGCTGTCGTAGCCGGAAGTCTTAAATGCCTCTTTGCTTAAGTTTTATTCCTAACTGGAGCTCAATGCAAGGATCATTTCTTTACCTGTATTTCATCTGCGCCATTTTTCGTATTATATTTCGTTTTGCCGGCTGAGAATATTTTCAAGAAGGTTTTTTTTTTGGCAAATCAAACCGATAAATAACTTTTTTCTCTCTGTCAAATCATTTTTGTCGCCAGCAAAAATTTTTTTCGAAATGAATTTGTGGTAGTGAATGTGTCATTAGTAAATTTGTTGACACGCGGCATAAAAACCGTTTGTAATTGACTTTAATCCTTCACGAAAGTAACTCAGAAAGTTAAAACTGTGAGTTATTTGTAGAAAATTGAATTAATCGATGTAATTTTTATTCATTTAATATTTGTATCCTCTCAAAAAATTTATTTGTTGTAAAACGGTGAGCGAAGTTTTCAGTCCTACTACAAATACGCTTTCGGCAAGTCTTTACGAGTCCGTTCAATTAGGTAGTTTGTCATTTTTTCCTTATTTTTATTTTTTAAAAGAGTGCTGCGCTTTGTTTCTTACGTGCTTTCTAATTGGCAGGTGTTATTGTGACATATACGAGTTAAAAAAGTTTTAGTTTGTTTGGAAGCCTTTTAAATCACCGTTATCTTTACACAAATAAAAATATTTCAGTGAGGCCTCTCTCTTGAATTTGCACAACCTCTGTTTTTAACTACCATTTACTCGCTCAAAAATTGTTCAGTTTGGGGAGGATCTTGCATTAATTACAGCCTTGAATCATTCGGGTTCTTTTCGCAAGCATTTAGTTAAAATTTGCAGGAAGTAGTCGAAGTATACCGACCTTCAGATATCAACTTCCTGATCGAGATGTCGACTCGTCTTGTGAATGATCGGCAAATGTCTTAAAGCTGAAAAGGAACCGCCGTCCGTTATGACTGCCATCAATAAGTTCACCAACATTGTCACATTACATGAACCCATCCATCAAATAGTGATATTTTTTTCCACTTTAAACGTCACGTGATATCTAAAGAATCATGGTAATGGGGAGAGGGGAACGATTGCGTGACTAACGACCGGACAAGATCCTGAGCGTCACGCGATCATACAGGTGCCTTTTTTCGCCTCTTTACAAACAAACAAACGATTTGTAATGGTAAAAGGAGCGATTGGAGTCCAATTCGGTCTAAAATCATCCGAATGATTAGAAAAAAATCGGACGTCCGCGAAGAGTACACAGTCCAAGTATAAACAATTTGAATTGGTACAATAGAGCCTTCAATTTGATCGCTGATGGTGCTCTAGTTTATGGTCGACTTCGGTTGACTATCTTATCGTGAAATGTATAGGTACACTTTCCTTTAGGCGACTTGGAATATTTGTTCCGATAACCGACAAAAACTGGCAGAAAAAGAGCGACATTTTGCGACAGCGGCAATCCATTTTTAATTTCGACGAAGCGACGTGTTTTCGCTCTGATTTTTTTGACAGAGGCATCGTGACCTGGACAGGGCGACTCCTTTGTGATCTGTCCAGCCTCACTATTTTGCCAATAAACCACTAACAAGTCAATAAAACATTAAATGTGTTTCATAGTCAACCTTCAACAGTCAGTCTCTTGTTACTTATTGTCATGTTATTAAGGGTCTGTTAAGGTGCGTCACACGAGTGTCTGAGCGCCAAATGCAAATAATCATTAGGCCGGGTGCCTCTTGCATTGCCTTTGTTGTTAGCGTGAAATGGAGAAAAATAGGAAGAAATCCCACCGCATTTTGAAGAAGAATAAACAGGGACAAAACGAGTCACTATTGAAGAGACAAGAAACGTAATCTGGGTAAGACTTGCAGATAATTCCCAAGGCGCTTTAAATGACCAATGACCAATAATCCAATTCATGACCACTCATTTTACGCAGAGTCTTAAAAAACATTAAGATCACAGATTGTGGGCTAGCCAGCCTACAGCCTGCGCGTAGTGTTCACCGCGAGATCACGGCTTCTTGGTGCGCAAATACTTATGTGAGATTATTCTCATACGCGGAACACTCATTCAAAGAACCCTAGTACACCCTAAGCTATAAGTTCAGTAGCAAGATTGGCCTAAATTCGCTCCCAGCATGACAGCAAGCGTAGAAAAAAATCCAGATCTTATGGTATAATGCAACTGCTTTGTAGTATAGTATTCGAAGCCATTCCTATTATCACGTGGTAAGGGAATGTCATTAAAAGATATCCTGGTCAAGACTTAACTCTGAAGAAAGGAGATTCAAAATCGCTTGCGAATGTTGAGTCACGCAGGCCCGTTACCACTCTTAAAATTAAAAAGACAAAGTTGTCTCTGTCGAGAGGGAGTATGACGGGTGCGTATGCACATCCCTCTCCCCCATGGGCCACAACAGTCCGTTCAATTGATAACAGCGACTCAAGAAAGAGTAAGTTCCAAAAAATAGGCCTTCAAAACAGTCCTCAAAACGCACAAAATGCATTCTCACACAACCTAATTTCCTTTAATTTTTCTGGGGAACATGCCCCCGGATTCCCTCCCCCCCCTAAATCTCGCACCTCTGGCGCCCGTCAATCCTCAAACGCACCCCCTTGCGCTAAAACTTGTCTACGGGCTTGCAAAGATATTTGGGTCAGACAAACCTATTTGTCTCGAGGTGGAAGATTCAAAATGGCTTGCGAATGGCAGGAGTCGTCTAGGCCCGTCACCACTTTTTAACTTCTCTTTTTTTAGCTATGTTTTTTACTAGCCTCGATAACACTGATGGAGAAATGACGCCTTATTCAAAACTAACTGGCTTAATGAGCAATATGTAAGGAAAGTATTGAAAAGATAATCTGGTAAGAGCTATTATAATTCTGAAGAAAAAGATTTTAAATCGCTCGCGAGTGGCAGGAGTCGCGCAGGCCTGTCAACACTACTTGGCAGCATTACTTGGTCAGTTGAGTGCCATACGACAATAGCAGGACATTTGAATCGGCCCCTGCTTGAGCTCCTTATTCAAATGATGGTATGACATTTATCTGAAGAGAATTGTGTTTTTCATGACTATGTGTAAAGATGAGTACTCGAGTGAGGGGAGCTAAGAATGCTAAGCCACCGATCGACAGTGAAACACAAATACCAAGCCTTGAAGTGATCTGTGTAATTTTTACTGCTACTCAAGCTAATAGGAGCTCGTTTGTGGTTGATCTTATGTCAAAAAGAAAACACTTACAGGCGTTAGCACATGTCAGAAATTATTGTATTGCCAAATTTGGCTCAAGAGAATACCCTAAAGAAAGAAATGCAAAGTCTGAGAAAAACAGACCTTAGAGAGGCTTGTATGAGTAGAGTTCCACTTGAACCTACTGAGTGTTTTGTCACAGTAAAGGTTCGGCATGTTACCATGGGAAAACAAGAAAGAAGATTTCCATCATCTTCCGCGATGTCATCAGTACTTGATTGGGTAGGATCGCTTTGTGAAGAACCGGAAAACTTCACTCTTCGTGATGCTCTTGCACTGCCCTTACATCCAAACAATCCAATTGTGAACCGAAGCATGATCTACATGGTTGTTTCAGACAAAATTAAACACCCTCTTTGGCTGAGAGTGAAATTCATTTCAGAGGTTTTGGATGGTCTGATAACGGAAACGATAACACCCTGGAGGATATGTTTCCCGTGCTGGAACAAAACGAAGAATCCTCAAAAGCTGCACTGGCAAGTGGTTACACAAATACTATGGGAAATGATAATTTGTATGTGCAAGCTATTTAGTTGTCAATATATCCCCACCTAACCTTTTCTCTCAAGTTATCATGACAGCTGCCATGTACTTAGGCTAAAAGTCATGGTTAGACCAAGTGTTATCCGTATCTTGGGATTTACTTTCAATGCCAGCCTCTCTTCAAGCTCTGGTCATACAGACAAATACTTTCTTCATTGCAGGTCTATTTCTTAGCATGCGCCCAGCCAACTGATGGTAGATGATGAGTAAGTATGAGAAACTTACTTGCGACTGATTCAAGAATTTATTAACTGAAAATAATTCCATTCATGAGAAATAATGTTAAATTTGTATTCAAAAGTACACTTTTGTTAATAATTCACTCATTTGGGCATATTTTGAGAATCGGCCAAGCGAGAAAACCATTCCCTGATAACATCTAAATTATTGGTTTAAAGGTCAAATATGAAAAGTATTAAGTTCATAAAACTACGTTGTACAATATTTTCGATGAGACAGAAGCATTTCATTTCTTTCATTAGGGCCCCAGATGAAACAGTAGTACAAAGTAAATTTGAAACCAAAGTAGTGGAAAGCAGAACAAGTTCAGAGGTTGGTTACTGAACTTGTGTAGCAAGGCATGAAAACTGAAGAATTTGGAGTCAACCATTCATAGAAACACATCTTAAAGCCTTTAGTTAAGAGGTGCCATGGTCTAAGGCTAAGCACCCTTGGCCTGAACATCGAGAAGACCCGAAAAGAGGGAAACTAGGGAGAGAGGGAAATCAGTGTACTGGGAATAGTCTACTTATTATAGTAGGGTTTGGGAGGATGATGTCTTAAGACTTTACCCTCTGCCCCTGACCGTCATATTTGCCTGCACTGACTAGCTGCCTGGCTTCTATAATCCTCTGTTCTAGGACGCATACTGCCTTATACGAAGTTGAAAATGTTTTGATGAATGTATCAATTAAGAAGAGTTGAACTTAGTAGCTAAATTTATAACGGAACAGTTACCATACGTCGTCGAATTCGTCTCTGATCAGCCAAAGTTTCAAGTAAGTACTCCATGCAAAGTGGTACAAAATTTATGACAAGTTTACAAAATAAAACAGCTCGCCTCAAATATCGATCAAATATACACACAGATGAGCATTTTATTATTAATGAAAATAAGTTGTTGCGTTGTTACTAGTTTTTTAACATTTATTATTTTTTCTACGGTTTACAACAGAAATACATTCACAAGGTGATGAACTAGCTTTAGAGGAGATGAATAATCCTACTGACCAAGGTATAATACATTGACGGCTACTTCTTTCGCAAGTGTTAAGTTTCAAGGAAGGCATTTTTTGGGCAAAAAATTTTTGACTGCTAATTTCACTGAGCTGTTAATGCGTATGCGTGTGTACGTTTGTGCGTGTGGATGAAATAACTGGACTGTAAATATTACAGTGTTTTCGGTTGCTTTAAATTCTCTTCCTTCTTCACTTTATTGGCAGGCGAACGACCACAGCGTGTCACTGTTTATCGAAGCAGCGTCAAAAAAGATCTCATTAAAATATTTAGCAACCCGAGAATTTTTAGCTACAGTTTTGATGTGGTTGTTATAGATGCAAGGAGCGAACCTGAGGACAGACGGGGTAAAGAAGTTCTACTCGATGTCATGACGTGTTTCTGGCAAGAATGTTTTACAGCTCTGACGAATGGAAGTAATGAAAAAAAACCATACGTAAGGCATGATCTCCAAAAGACTGAATGGAAAGCCATCGCACGAGTCCTTGTTTATGGGTACTAAAAGATGAAGTATTTTTCTCTTCATCGTTCAAATCTATCTGTGCATTGTGCTTGTTTGGGGAGAAGAGTATAACTCTAGAGTTTCTTCTGAAGTCGTTTCGGGAATGTATCACGGCAGAGGATAGGGAGGTGTTGAATATGTGTCTAAGATATAACTTTGACCCCCAAGATCATGATGGTAATGATGATGATGATGATGTGCCGGAGTTTCTCTTCACATGCAAATGTTTTCGAAAGCCGTACAAAGACAACATCAGATCCATCATCAGCGAGCTTGCCCATCAAGAGCTCATCCAGAAACCGAGATATGAGTTACATTACTGGGCGCCCATACTGGATGTGCCACGATGTGAACACAGCTTCTAAACACTCGAGGGGCTTGATCAACTCTACGAAAGTAAACGACCAACAGCGAAGAAGATAATGAAACTGTTCCGAAGAAAGCCATCAACCGGTCGTGAACGTCAGAGTCTTGACTATTTAAAGAAATTTGTCAATTCCTTGGAGGGGAAGGCGCTTTATGTGTTTCTACGCTTTTGCACAGGGAGTGATGTGATCACCTGTGACTCCATAAGAATTTGTTTCTCTTCATTGGAAGGGCCCCAGAGACACCCTGTGACTCGTACATTTACTCCCTTCCTGGAGCTTCCTACGTTATACGAATCTTTCCCAGCTCTTGCCGAAGAGTTTACAAATATCATGACGGAAAGCCAAGCATCGTCATTTGACAAGATTTAATAGCGTTTCCACTATCTTTTTACAAAGGGTTCAATATTTTTCTATAGCTGATATGGTAGTTAAACGTTGCATCATGAACCACGCGAATAACTAGTAAAGACTTACTGCGGATAATTCATTGTTTTGAAAGAAAAAAATGTTCAAGGAAAGGGAACATTGGAAACTTTGTTTCATGTTTTTATTACAGTTCAAATAAGCTAACAGTATATGCCATCAGTTTCTTGACTGTTACAGGTTAACAAATATTGCACATGGATTGTATGAAATTGTTAAAACCAAACAAAAGGAGGTGTTCATCTTCGTCATAGAAGGCATCACAAAATGTCCCTATTGATGGAATTCCACCAAACACATATTACACCAAATATTAAGTGTGTGAAAGTGTCTAAAATATTCAGTCAACACGAAGTACTCTGAAACAAGTGGGTTCAATTCTAGACGTAAGTGAAAAGAGGGCGGGGGAAAGGGTGGGGGGGGTTAGCACCCCAGAAGGGTTACGCATGTCCCAGGTCTCTTACATTTTGCCTAATTATTTCTTCGAGTAAGGTGACATACAAAGTTGTTGCCTCTTCAGGTGTGCGAGGAAATTATAAACTTTTTTCCCCTCATGATTTCTGATAACTGGGTAAGTTCATCTGAGCAACCTCTTTGCGGAGGTTGATAGCAGCATCTCTCCTCTGCAAGATCCAATTCGTCCAAGTCGACGTCCACTGTATAGTTCCTTGTACCAGACACTTCCGGGAAAAAGAATAGTACATCAGGCCTCCCAGATGGGGATTCCAAGTTTGTTGAAGGTAGAATTCGATGGAGATTCCACAGTCTTGCTGCCCCATGAAGTTTATCTCGCAATATAGGCATGAAACAAAACTTGAGACACTCTTCAATACAGTCATTGTCATGATAAAGGCCGCAACTCCTCATGTCTTCCATCATCTAGTACAGTCTTTTCCCAGTATACTTCACCAGGCTTCGATTCGATGGTTAAAAACTGATTTCCCATAGATGGAACTGTCATCCCCCGCTAATCATCTTCACCATCTCGCCTTTGCACCGCTGCAACATATCCATTCTCAGTTCCACAATCAGCTCTTCTAACCCTCGCAGTTCCTCCAAGTTGCCGGACACAGTCACCAAAGTACCGAGAAATAACGGTAGGATCATTGTTGGTGTATCCAACGTCAAGCCATAAAAATCACCAACTAAATCCATGGATAGCTCCGTGGATACAAAAACCAAACGGCTTCAATTTATCATAGCCATCTATGTGCCACAAATGATTGGGCCCCTTGGTTATGTATTGCCTCCTTTTTAGCCTACGCCTTGTTCTTAACTTACCCTCCGCTGGATCAAGGATATTCAATAATTCCAGAACGTTCTCTTTGCCAACAACAAGCCGGTGGTCGTTGACTAATCGTTGAGTCATTTGCTGGTATCCGATGTTACAACCGCTTGCTCTGAGATCTTCTTCCAGAGCTTGAACAACCTGGCGTTTGTTCTTCGTCCGAGTCCCTTGACTGTCTGAGGCTCAAGCCGATGTAACGACTGAATACAAGAAACAACAAGATCTCTGTATACTCCAGCCCAAGATGATAATAGTTTTGAATTAAGTCATGACGTTAAGCGGGTATTCTTGCAATGTAGTAATGTAGTTTGCAATTCGGACACCATCGCATGTGGACGTTTTCAAATCAAATGTTAGAATTAGAAGCACGGCGAAAGCGCTGGTCATTTTGGCGTCCCAGTAAAGAGAAAAATTTCTCGTTTTAACAACGATATCAATCCGTAGGGTTTGCCAAGTCCACAGCAGTAACTAGATTGGGGTCAGCCACCTTCCACAGAAAGTCGGGAAAAAAAACGGGGAAAAGGTCGGGAAAAAAGTCGAGAAAAAAGTCGGGAAAAAAGTCGGGAAAAAAAGTCGGGGAAAAAAGTCAGGCAATAAATCGGGAAAAAAGTTGGGAAAAAGTCGGGAAAAGGTCGGGAATAAGTCGGAAAAAAATTCGGGGAGAAAGTCGGGAAAAAATTTTGGAAAAAAGTAGACGAAAAAGTCGGAAAAAAACTGAAATAATTGTCGAGAAAAAATCGAGAAAAAAGTCAGGAAAAAAGTCGAGAAAAAATCGAGAAAAAAGTCAAGAAAAAATCGAGAAAAAAGTCAGGAAAAAAGTCAGGAAAACAGTCGAGGAAAAAGTCGAGAAAAAAGTCGAGGAAAAAGTCGAGGAAAAAGTCGAGGAAAAAGTCGAGAAAAACGTCGGGAAAAAAGACGGAACACGTGCAAAACTTAAGGGGATATTCAAAATTGAAAGTGTAATTTAATGGCACTTAGTGGGCTCCGTTATTTTTTTACTTATTTCGATGGAGCTTTGCGTATTTCCATCCCTTCTCATGCATGGTTTTGGTTGACAAAGTTTTATTCTTCAATTAAACTGCAGCTCTATCATTTTTAAATTTGATCTTCCACTTAGTGATGGGAAAGAACCTCTTTACACTGGTTCTGTTATTCTGTTAACATCTCAGTCCATCGATAGCACGTGGTTAAAATGAAAGGGTTGCCTACCTCCGTAGGGAAATAATAAACAAAGTTACCTCTGTATACAAGCTTTTATTGTTTAATGTGGCAATAATAGCATCTGGTGAAAGATCGTCCTCTCCTGCCCTATGATTAAATATCTTATTTCCGCGCCTATTTAAAATTTCGGTTAAAAGGAGTGGCGCTTATTAGGAGGAGGGCGATTGTTCGAAGGGGGCCACTTATGAAGAAACTATTTCCCTGTACTGATTCCGCTGTAGTTGAAGGCTAAAAAGTTAAAAATGAAGTGACAATAGAAACAGATTTTCTTTGTATCTCTACTATTAAAGAAAGCGAGGAAGGAGGGGTCGGCGCTTATTCGAGAAGAGCGCTTGTTTGACATAACGACCTAAGGTGTGGGCACTAATCGAGGGAGGGCGCTTCTAAGAGTGTGGGCACTAGTTGGGGGAGGGCGCGTAAAGGAGCGTGGGCGCTTATTCGAGGAAATATGGTACTTGGTTTCCTTTTTTAACGATATTGCAACATCGATTGAGGAACTTGGAAATAATTATATAAACAGTCATTAAGAACTAACTCGTAGACTTACTGATCGTCACAGTAAGAGCAGAAATTGAGGAATCTTTCCAAAAATATGGCATGCAGTAAATGTCAGCCAGTCCTTCTGTTTTTTTTTTCCGACTAGCTGTACGGGATGTTTCGTCAATTTGTAATCGGTCTGATACACCGTTCATGTACCGTTGACCAGATCAAAGTATTCTCTTCATTTCAGTATAAATACACGATTTACTTCCCTCACTTAATGGATTTTTTCTCCTTCTCGTTTCATGAAATGCATGTCAAACATGATTCATAAAACGGTTTTTCAGTACATCACAATCCAAAAATGAAAAATGGTGGATTTTGGAGATTACACAAATTTCTTACGACCCCCTCCCCCTCTAGTTTGTAAATTGATGCAGCTGACTAAGGCTTTTCTGACAGGAAACCATTCTGAGGATAGAAGCCAGAAAGGAAGGAAGGACAGGAAATTGGAAATCTGAAGATGTTATTAAGAGATCTATGAGAAATCAGGTCTCATGGTCAGTTTGGGGGGGGGGGAGGGGTGGGTAACTTTCCATGGACTGTCCTCCCATCAATACAGTAATCCTCTTCTACTTGATCAACTGGAGCATGTAAATTCAATTCAGCAGTTGTATAAACAGAGCAGGCCTGAAGCAGCCAGTCACAACAGTGTGGATGAAACCTGATGATCTAGTTGGTTCGTGGTGATGACCTTTACTGACATCACAGCACTCACAGGGGTTTCGTTTTTTCTAATTTAATATAAATTAGTTTAGTTCACCACGGACAGTTGCAAAACTGAGCACTTGAAAACGGGACTTGTCCCTGAAAAATCAGCATTAATGACTCAATATATAAAAATCACGAGATAGAGTTAGTATCTTACAATGTGCATAGTTGCATAGTGTACAGCCACAATAGCACTATAACTTAACTGTCACTCACTTGACAGTTTTGAGAGAACAACCAATACAATACTGAGTTAAATTATTTTACATTTCAGAGTCAAGGAAATACTTGTCAAACACAGTCTCCCCTCTTTGGCCACACTCAACAGAGTTTTAAAAGCTTTGACGACGAATGTCAACCACATTGCACCATTTACATTAATCTCAAATGGAATGTTTGAAAATTAAGGCAATCAAAAGCCTGTCCTGTATTAACAAAACAGCTAAATTTGTTCACAGCATGTTGAATGCCATGAAAATAAAAATACCGATCCTAAATCACGAAATTTATCTTCACATTGTTTTTTTGGCTTTTAGTGAAGACTTCCATCAAACGTTAAGGTTTTGCTCTTCGCCACATTAAAATATTTAATATTTTATGGAGAATGGCTGCATTAATGAGTTCTCTTTTTTAATCAATAGAAATGAGAAAATTATCTGCACAGTCAGCCTGATGAAGTAATCAATTATCTGAGCAGGAAAAAACCAACCAAGGTAAATTAAAAAAGAAAAATTACAAAAATACCTCAGAGTCTCTAACTCAGTAACATGAAAACCAAATTTTGAAACTCAAAGCTGGAAATCAAAACTACAACCAACATAAGGAAACATCGTAAAATAGCCTAAAATCAAAATATATCCAAATCAACGATCAATTTCAAGGACAAGACACTCTGACTCCAGAGAAACATCCCACATGTTCTCACCGATGTTGTGGAAGGGAGTCCCCATTTTGGTGAGGGTACCAATTTACCTAAGGTAAGTGATTCTAAAATATTTATTTCCTTCTTTTTATCCAAATGTTAATTGTTTGTTTATCTGATCACAACACTGAAGTCTCTTACCATTGGTCAGAAACCTACCAGACCAACCAATCACCTTGAAATGTGCCTAGTATAGTCAAACTTCCCAAACTAGTTTACAAATTTCAATCAGAACAGTCCATACAATTTAGGTATTGACTTCTCTAACTGAACAGATCTGAAAGAATTCTCTCAATGGATGGACTGGTCTGACCAGCCAGTTCTGACCAATGGTAAGTTTCCCTAGTTAGAGGCAGTCTACTAAGCCAGTCCAGGTCAGCTAAGTTTCCAGGCAGGACTGAGGTTCCTCCTCGTCATCTGAGTGGGTAACTGATCCAGGATCTGGTTCTTGCTCTGATCCATGGAAGAAGCTCCAACGTTTTCTCCAGTATTCATCTGTTGGCCATTCTTCTTCAGGCTTGACATTCCCTTTGCGATCCTGTAATAAATCACAAACCAACACTCAACATCATCTTATTAAACAACGTACACCTGAACTCACACTTATTTACCCTGGTTACTTTTTATAAGAAGAGAAATTAGGCCAAGAGAATTTTTGAGTGAGTCATTTTAAAACAACTTTTATATTGAGGAACGTTCCTTGTAGCCTTACATCACAAGGCGCACCAAAATTTAGATATCATCCAATTATATCCATGGTGGGGCCCATACCGATTACTTTGTTAGAGACTAGTAAACTGAAGTGTTCAAGAAATATACATTACATCATATGATGAACAAAAACTCATTCATTCAGTGACTACCTTTCATACAGTCCTACAGGTACATGTACCTGACAAGCCCATGCAGAGAATACAAGGTATACCTAAGTGTAACAAGATGGAAACAGTAGGGTGCATACCGCCAAAGAAGCAAACTGAAAAATGTCTTATTTTTCATCGTAAACAGTCTTATCAGTTCTACATTCTTATTACTTAGCGGGCTAACCGACAAAGTGATTTTAAAACACCGAGAAACTAATGCAAGGTGCACTAGAGTCGCGGGTTCTTCCATAAACACAGCACGAAATAAATGCAAACAACAAAGCGACAGCGATGTAAACAGCGAAATGAAAGTGTAACAGTGCACTCCGCGGTATTTACAAAAGTCGCATAAAAAAAATTCAAAGCAGTTCAAATTCGTTTATAAAACTGATTTGAACTGACTGGTCGTGACTCTTCATGAAACAAACTTTATTCTTGTTCTATAGAAGCAATCGAGATATCGCATGTTACCGGTGACCCTTCGACGATGAATAGTTCCAAATTCAATCCAAACAATTCACGAATACACAGCTGACAACTTCTTCAATTTCCTCAGCAGGATTTAAACAAGAACCGTAAAACTACAAAGCAATACGTGGCAAAAATTCGACAAGAAAACGAACCGTTTGCTGTGTTGTTGTGACAAAATACAAAAGAATGTTATGAAAGCATGATTAAAACGGAACGAAATTGAGTTGCGAATTACCCTTTGTCCAGAGGGTAATGGACTGGGCTAATCTTAAGGAATCTAAAGAAGATGCTCCATTTTAGTTCAACTTTGACTGTAGCCCGCACACGTGTTTTTTGGAAATGTGCAAGTGCCTCTTGTGGCTTAGCGATAGCTACATCGCACTTGCTCCGCGAATCAAGGGCGTAAAAATTCTTAAAACAACACCACAGGAAATTGAACAGAATCTCCATGAATAACGACTGCAAATGCAAACTAAGATCACAAAACTTACGTGGTAGTGTGTCCCCAAGGAGGAGATGTTACTCTGACGTACAGCTCCACTCAAATCATTCACTTCTTGCTTTGTCATTTTAACATCAAAAAGCCACAACTCCTCCAGGTAAGGAACACAGTTGAGATGTCGAGTGAGAACACTTACTCCTTCACCAAGAGGATTACGTGCCAAGTTGAGCCAGCGCAGGCTAGGAGCCTCGCGCAGAGATCTGGCGATGGCTGCGGCAGGTTTGGCTGTTAAATTGATATCCTCTAGTAATAATCTCACAAGTCTGTCAGTAAAGATGATGTGAGACACCAGGGTCTCTGTCAACCGAGCATCGATGCTTTCAAAGGGTTTACCAACAATATATATCCATCGCACAGAAGTGCAAAGTGATAAACAGTCAGCCAACATCTTCATCTCTTGCCTTTCTATGTCGTAAGTAAAAATGTTCCTCACACAGGAAAGGCTGTTTGGAGTGGGACCAGTGATGCTATCAGTGTTCTTAGTCAAACACGAAGCTGTTTCGTTGTTGTGTTCATTCGACGAATCACCGACACGCTTCACCTGAGTAGACTCTGCTGTTGATGAAATAGGCTCTCGCAGTATTTCAGTTAAAGAAGTGTCATCAATACCTTCTTTCCGTATTTGAAGAATGTAAATGATAATTTTTCTTTCTCTCTTCAAGAAGAACTCTTTCAAAGGACGACGCGGGAACTTCTGTAGAAAATCTGCGGCTTTCTTTTCACCCGAACAGCTCAAAATAACAGCATTTGTGTCCTCCGCTACAGTGATCAAGTTTCGATAGCTTTTCTCTGAATCCACTACGTAGCGAGGAAAAAAGATAAAGTCGGGTATAACGGCAGATTTCAGCAAATGTCCATTTGCAGTAATGTTCAGCTGGTTAGAATCAAGAAACAAAACACCTCCAGTGTAAGAGGGAAACGCTGAGCTGAGATCTTGTCTCTTCTCGGCTGAACAACAAATGTAGCTATGCGATATAAGCTCTAGATAAAGTTTTTGGTTTTGAGACAACGGTTTTTCAAGCTGCTGAATCAGCTCAACGAAATTACATTCCGACAAAGATTCCTTTCTTCCAACAGACCCTACATGACGGAAAACTGCACACGCGGCTTCTGTTGACAGCTCACAGGCAAATGTGAGAACTTCATTCATCTTCACGATCTGTTCAAATGATTCAACTTTGGAAAGGCTAGGCGTACTATCTCTTTTAACAGACAACACTTCCTCCTTAATGTGCCAGGCTGCAAGGAACTCCTGCACGGATTTATGAATGAAATAGGCCCCTTTCTCTGGATTGAGACTCGTGACATTGACAATCTGGAAAAGCCCAACTTTAATTAATTTTTGAAAACTTCTTGATATATTGCCGAAGAGTTCGCTACAGCGTACGTAAAGACGGTCTTGTAGCAGTGCTTCGAAGGCAGCCTTTCCAAGATTGCTCAGGTCTTCTCTGGCTTCCGTGGAGGTCACTTCCACAAATGGTATAGGCTGTTGACTTTCACCTTTGTGATCTAACATGGTTTGAATGAATTGTGTGAATATGTCGGCCCGTGATTTTGGCAGTCCTTCGTGATGTTTCTCTTTCCACAAAATACACAGCATCAGTAGGAGGAGAGGTATTTCTGCCATGCCAAGGAGATCTTTTTCTTTCAGGTAGGACATAAATTCGTCAAGATCTTGTTCACCAGCCAAAAACTTTCTCGCAAAGGTTACGATTTGACTCCAGCTTTTAAAACCCTGAATTTCCAACTGAACGTGGCTGGGGCCTATTAACTCGTCACATTTAAGTTTTCGTGTGGTGACAATAACGTGACAATCTCTTAATTGCTCGCCCCTCCAAATTTCTAGAATAGGTGAGGGTGCTTTTGCACAGCTGTACTCATCGTAGCCATCCAAAATAAGAAGCACTTTATCTTGATTGTTGATTATGTAATCATTGAGACTATCGACTGAGATCGGACCATCACTGGCCAGCAATTTAGACGCAAGTAAAACATTACGGATGTCTTCCAAATCACACACATCTCGCAACTTGATCAGAAGGAAAATGTAAAAGTTCATAAGAACTTCTTTTAAGGCTTTCGACCAGTCATATGCAGCCTTCTTACAAAACGTACTCTTGCCAATTCCTGGCCGACCATAAACAAGCATTCGTGTTGGTTTGCGATCATATTCATCTTCCTTGAACATGTCGGTGTAGTCTTCAAGTTTATCTTGAGTCATTCCGCTGGGTTTCCTGTCATCTTTGACCCAAGACAAAGGTGTGTAGATCTTCTCGATCTGAATGGAAGAACTCTCGTCCCATGGAACGATTTTCACCTTCCTGAAGGTTTCATAATGAGACTTAAGCTGCTCTTGACACTTTTCAACATTAAACGGTTCTAAGAAATATTAAAAGAAAAACAGAAATTACTTTTTATTCAAGGGAAGAAGATGATTTACCCCTGCCACCGCGCCCTGCCCCCCCTGCAAAAACCCACACTCTGTTCTGTAATTTTCTCTTAGTCGGTAACTCTTCTTAAATCGCAGGAAAGATTAAATTTCCAGCATTTATTTCATCATGGATCAATTATGTTGGGAAATGTAACGGCCAAAGAGAGAACGAAAAACTTCAGGAATTTTCATTTCATAAAATTTTGCGCAGTACTGTTTCTTGAACTAGAATGACAAATTGGTATAAAAAAAGAAAAAAGAAAAAAGTTTTGCTGTCTTGTCAGGAGCGTGGGACAAAGGAAAAATTTTGAGTCCTCACCAGGAATGGAACATAACACCTTCGGATTCTGCGCTCGGACACTCTACTACTATAAGTATAATATAAGTTATGAAAACGAAAGCTTAATGTGAAATTTATTCACTTGATAATTATAATACCTGCTTGCCTTCTACGTTTATTTTGTGAAGGGTCATCACTTTTAAAACTCTCCTCTCTTGTTGAAATGTCTGCAAAAGGGAAAGGAAAGTCAAACTGTTATAAGAATTAAAACACACTTAAGTTAATCTGTGAGATGGGTAACAAGCAGGAGTCGAAATAAGTGCTGATTGAATAAGATGAAAATCTCGTGTGAGCCTGATCACGGAATAAAAGAGAGAAGAGAAATTGATGGACTTGGAGAATTGAAATTAATTGAAACGGAATAAAAGCTAAGATTTAGATCTCAACAATGTTTTAAACCGGTCAGCAACAGTAAGGTATTTCGTAGAAAGGTAAAAAAAGAAAATTTGGGTTCATTTTACTGTGCACAAGAGTCTGGACACGAAAACAATAATTAGGAGGGCAGTGGGAGGGGGTAGTTGATAAACGTGTTTAATCAACGATTTGTAATACCTACAATCTAATATGAAATATAAAAGATTTATTTAGGACTAATGAAATACAATGAAGACGCAGAAAGTGAATTCTTATTTACCCCTCTAATCAGTAACTTTAGAACGTTATCTATGACTTCAAAACTGGAATTGGAACTACTGAAATGAATTTGTACATATCTCAGTTTTTTTTCATAGCAATGCCATTGAAAAAAAATGCGCATGTTTATCAGTTTTTTGATATATATTGAATTCCACTGTTGGTCTCCATGCTCTCATCTGCAGATAACAATATTCTATGTCGAGGAAAACAGACAAGTTACAAGATCTCTTGGAAGACACAACCAAAGCTGTTCCAAAAATGTAAACGCACCTCCGTAATGAGGCCAGTCTCCAAACACAAAAGAGCTACTCAACATGTTAGATACAACAGAAGCTGCCATGACACATGCAAAAGTCTTCCATGTATCGTTTGTAGATGCAACAGCATGTACAAAACCACAAACTCCTTTAATGACAAGCCACTCTATCTTCATGTCATGGGCTGCTGCAAACAAGCCTGAGGTAGAAAAATGAAAACTACACATATCCAATGGATTTCTCATAGCTTTTAAAGGAATCTCTCAGGTAATGATAACAAGCTAAGAACTCGCAATACTCCACAGTCAAAAGAAGAATGTCAACTGGACGATGGTCTATGTTCCAATGTTTCACCTTCTTTGGCAGATCTCTCGTCTTCTTCAGTTTAATACTCAGAGGTGGAGGGTCATCACTGCGATTCTCTGAGCAGCTGCACTTGTCATCACTAGGTGCTGCCATCATAACAAACTGGATCTGTGTTCAAAGTTTTCCTAGAGGTGAACAAATGAAATTAGAAACTAATTCAAAAAGAGATAAACATAAATAATTTGTAAACACATGTTTGCTTATAAGCATGTCACATATCTGAAAGGTAATCAAAGTATGACCGTGTGAGATGCTAATATACAGCAAGACTTCCGAGCCTAAACGACACCCAGTACCTGGCATTGATGGTAAGAATAAAGGAGGCAAGTGTCTAAAGAAACCGTGGTGCTGTGTCAGTGGGAGAGTATAACAGGGTAATTAAGTATTACCAACTAAGGTGATAACGTAAATTGGCCACCGTAGAGAGTTTATATTTCAAGAAAACCCTGGCTGCTGGGACCTCCACGTTGACAACCTAATAACCAATGCAAACACTTGGCTGTTTATATTGAGTGTTTGTAAGGTTAACAGCTATTCTTAAGATCAACTCAACAAGTTATTTGACCCACTCATCTTATCCTTAACAAGAATACTGAGGAAAAGGGGGCATGAATTCCAACTCCCCTGAAAAGAACTGAAATACACAAAAAATTGTTTATTAACAGATGTCTTTTTAAACTTGTGTGATCATATTTTGTTATGTTCGATTATTCCTTTTTACTTCTTTCTATATCTTGTTTTAGATATTTAATTGTCCCTTTTATCCATGATTTGGACTGTAAAGACTCACTGCTGTTGAGTCTGATTTTTTTCAATAAAGACTTCATCATCACCATCATCAAGTATGTTCCATATATCTTTCTCTACCGATACAAAAGTGTTCATCAATATTTATCTTTAAACCACAGTTTGAGATTTAAAAGAGCAAGTATTCTAACCATTAAAACATTATTTTCTCCTCAGATGTGTAAAAATTTTGAATGCAGATATCACCAGCAATTTTAACAGTTGTGTCCTGGTAGCAGCACATGTAAAACTACAATGTGTGGTTTATAAACAGCTATCGGTCTATTGTTGATGAAATAAAAGAAAATCAGTTCTTCAATCAAGAATGTCTTTTGGAATAACTCCTAATTTTTGAATTAACTCACCAGAACAGAACGTTTGAAGACAATTTCCAACTGTTTAGTTATACTCTTCGTATTCTCAAAACAGATAAGGACATTGGTCTCCAAAGACATTTTAGTCACCAGCCACAAAAAAACACTACATGTAAAGGCTTTAAAGTCTGAAATTTCATTTGGATTTAGACAAGTGATTACTGCTTTATCTAATCAAAGCACAGTGTGTAGTGGCTGCTTCAGAAATGCGTAACCAGTACAAAATGCCAGCCAATGAACAATGATTCATTTGAAGGAATATAAGTTGATTACTAAATTTACTACCCACTAGGTCCTACTTTGTTTTGTTTGAGTTTTGTTTCTACTCCAAAGCTGTTTTTTAAATAGATTTTGAACTGTCAAAATGTACATAGATTTTGATTAGTTAACTTAGTTGGTTACGAAGCCCTTCTTATAGAGATAACCTCAGGGGTCTCCCCTTCAAATACTGCTGTATATTTGTGTTTGAATCAAGAGTTATTATCATTATTATTTTTATAATTATTATAATTATTGTTATAATTTCATATAACACTTTTAATAATAGTGTTAGAGGTATATTGTTGTGCAACTCCATTAAGATTCATATGATCAAGATTCCTGTAAGTTAGCTCAAGAGGGAAAAAAATTATTTCTTTATGGCTTAAATTTGCTTATTGATAAGACGTGTTTATCGGAAGAGTGCCTTTTTACCCACCTTATCTTGAGGATCGTTTTGGTTAAACTCTTACAAGTGGGACTGTTATGTAAGTGCCTATGTTCCTTTTCTTTGTGCTTAATTGTCTAAACATCTAGTCTTTTGGTAGTTTCGCCTAGTTTTTACACTAGTTTTCTTTATCGTTTTCGCAAACTTGTAACACGTGGCTTACGTTGTTTACGCTTCGTTAGAACCCTACACGTTTTCCCCACTTGGCTATTAGTTTTTGTTACAGTTCGTTTTCAAGCAGTACCTTTTTATCCTTTTGAAGATATAGTACTTTTGCGAGTTTGTTTTTAGTTTGAGCTGGTTTTTAGATCTTGTCTTTATATCAGAATGATTGGAATGTTGATTCGTATGTTTGAATTTAGGTTAGCTTCCTCCTTATAATTTTCATATTTCAGTTTACGACACCTCGACTACGTTAAATAAAACGGTTCAAGGCTTGTCCGTAAAATATATCCTCACTTCATAGTGTGTCTTCATTTGCGAAACTCATATAGTTGTCTTCAAAAATTTGCTTCGCTTGTGTCGGCCACTACACCACTTAAGTTAAAAAATAAACTCACGTTCCTTAGTCTTCCTGTAACAATGAATTAAGGGTTGTAACAAACCCTAAAATTATATTTATTACCAAAAGCTAACACCCAAATATGCATAAGACCAAAATAGGCCACTTTTATTCTTTTTTTTCCCAAATTGCCCCTTATTCAAGACATATGTTTCACTCTGCTACCTGACTTAGACTTAAATTGTCATCTGTTTGCTTCTATGAAATCCAATAAGACCCCTAAATTTTTCTTCTCTTTTACCTTTGCCAAATAATTGTGTATGCAGGTATGGAGCTCAACAGAAACATTTCATTCTAATTCCTGCAATGGTCTATGAATTAGCAAAGGTACAGTTTGCAGAATATTAACTCCAATCTCAGTTAAAACGTAGGTTTATGAATTAAAAGATTTTAATAACCTGACTGCACGTCAATTAATGTACTTGTTAATAATAAAATTTGAGACTGAAATTTGCAAACTGACAGATAAATGCAAAAGATGTGCTCTTAGATCCTACATGTCAGGTCTTACAAATAGCTTTTGGTGACCTTAGGCTGTCTTGGGTACAGCTACAAATTTAGTCAGACCATGCTGGTCAGGTTTATTTGATCAGCCAATTAAATTACCTAAGTTGTTCCTTACAGAATATTTATACATAAATCATCGCAGCAAGATATAAACGTTTATTTCATTTGATAAAACAATAACATCATCAATAGCATTTAAAGGTATTTATAATAAAGAATTGCAATTATTTTTTATCATGTGTGAGAAAACAACATAATGCCAATGATATTATGATTGGTACATTACTGAAAGTTAATTATGATTAAGTAGACTGTAAACAGCTGTTACTCTTTTTCATAAAATTTCACCCTTTGGCCCTAAGAGTGACTATACTATACTATACTATGCTGTTTTCTTCCCATAATTATTTTTATCATGTGTGAGAAAACAACACAGTGCCAATGATATTATGATTGGTACATTACCGAAAATTAATTATGATTGAGTAGACTGTAACCAGCTGTTACTCTTTTTCATAAAAATTTCACACTTTGGCCCCTAAGAGTGACTATAAGTGTCAAATTTCTCATTATAACATCACTCCTAAATCACACATTAAGGTCACCAGAATAAAGGAAATGATCACCAGCTAAAGAGGCTCTTGATTATTGAACAAATTCTATTTATCTGCACCTTAGGAAATGTATTGAGAACAGTATGGAGAATATAGAGACTAATGTCAGGGTGTAAAGGATTCAGGTCATATCAGAGCAATTAACCCACTCAAAACAAAACAGACCCAGAATTACAAAATAACCAAGATTGAAAACTAACAATGTTATATTCACCTCAGTTCACACCTTAAGACATTATAAAACTCACCCATGCTACCACAAGTTAATTCCTGTATTTAGAAACTCAGATCTAGGATCTGAGTTGTTGCCTTTTTAGACAGGTATCTTCTGGAAATAAAAATTTTATTGACTCATCATTTAGCAAATAAAACATGCCTGATAGTCCTTAAGATTTTACATTATAAACCAGCTTGCCAAAATTTTTGTATTTTCTTAAATTTTCACTCAAATATCTAAGGTCATTATATAATTACATGAAATCTGTGCTTGCATGTATAGCTTCTTTAACATCAATCGTCATTTCCAGGTAATTGGTACAAGTTGTATACCTCTGAGTGGTATTCACAAATTCACATGATCATGACATTTGATACAAAGCAAGTCTTAGTAGTTAAAAAAAAACTAAATCAAACATAAAAAGCAAATGTACATGCTTTGTGTTTCTATTAATCTGCATTAGTCAACAATTTTATGACCTCAGTTAGACTTAAGTTTTGCTTTTAAATTAGTAAATTGAGATTGATCTGAGTAATGATCTTTGTCAGCATGCTTTAAATCTGTCCAGAAAAAAGCAATTCATTTTTAGATTGTTGAGTTTTGTGGTAGTCAGCTTTTAAAAAATAAAGTACACATTGGCTTTCCCCTGATTATAAATGATTTAAAAGAGCTGATAGAAGCACAATCATGTTCAGTCCATCTTAGACAAATTGGTATTTCAAACCCTGATTTGCAACTTTATTCTATAATGTAAAAATTCAAAGCTTATTTTGATGACATTTCAGTGTTCTTTTGAACAACAGCAAAGTAAGTATTTGAAACTTTTTTACACATTTGTGTAAAACAAAGTAGGTTTTTTTGTGTCTAAAGTTTTCCCAACAATTTACGCCTTTGGGTGACGACATGTCAAGTTAGGTCAACACTCTGAAAAGCTTGAAATGCCAACACCAATAGAAAAACAGAAGCCTCCTGCAGAGTCTCAGCAGACTCAGCAATGAAGATTGCCTAAAATTAATGAGTCTTAATTGAATTCAAGGAGATTCTTTTGCCAATTAAGACATGTCAAATTTCTTTACTTCTTCTTTACTTTCACCC